ATAATCGTTATGAAAATAATGATTCAAAAATTATGGATTCTAAAATTAGGCTGGGATGATCAGTTGCCACCTGATCTTTTAAAATTATGGTCCGATATGATGCATAGCTTGCCTCTTCTAAATGATTTGCGTATTCCACGTATTGTACTGTGTGACTTCTACAGGTGCATAGACTTGCACATTTTTAGTGATGCGTCGCTAATTGCATATGGTGCATGTTTATATGTACGAAGTTCACATGACGATAATAATGTATTGGTACGTTTACTTACAGCCAAAAGCAGAGTGGCCCCAATCAAACCAACTACCATACCAAGACTGGAGCTTTGTGCTGTGTTGGTTGGTGTTCGTCTTTACGAAAAAGTGATTGAGTCACTCCGAGCTCAAGTCAGAAGTGTCACCTTTTGGACTGACTCGATGGTAGTGTTGGGCTGGCTTAACATGTTACCAAGCAAATTACAACCCTTTGTGCGTAACCGCGTTGCTGAGATATTGGACAAGACTGGTACATGTTCTTGGAGGCACATCCCAACAAATCTAAATCCAGCAGATCACATATCCCGTGGAATCGATGTAAGTCTGTTAAAATCTTTAGATCTGTGGTGGTCAGGCCCAGACTTTCTAAAATATGATTCCTCAAAATGGCCTAGTAGTCCAACAGTAACTAGTGAGAAATTACCGGAAGTGCGATCGGAGATTTCTTTACTTGTTGCATCAGTGAATCAACCTGTTATAGATTTTAATAGATTTTCAAATTTTTCGAGACTGAAACGCGCGGTAGCCTACGCATTGAGATTTATAAATGTTTGTAAAAAGCAGCCATCTAATCATCAGTATCTTAGTGATGATGAGTTAAAACAATCTTTAAATTTAATTATAAAGCTTTCACAAATTGAATCCTTTCCAGAATATAAAATTCTATTTAATAAGCAACAATTGCCAAAAAAGAGTCAATTAATCAAATTTAATATTTTTCTAGATGACAATAATTTAATACGTGTCGGTGGTCGTCTAGAAAATTCTCAATTTAGTTACGACAAGAAACACCCCTTATTATTACAGTCCACTCATATTGTTACAAAATTATTATTTGTTTACATGCATAAGAAGCTTATGCACGCGGGACCACAACTTTTATTAGCGTCTATTAAAGAAAATTACTGGCCAATTGGTGGTCTAACTTTAGCTAAGGCAGTTTATCGCAAATGTATGATATGCAGTCGCATTAGAGGGCAGGTAATTTCTCCTCTCATGGGAAATTTACCACAGCAGCGCTTGAATCCCGGGGGATATCCTTTTGAGACTGTGGGTGTCGACTACGCCGGGCCCATTTCATCAGCTAGTAGACAAGGACGTGGATGTCGCCTCACTAAAGTGTACATCGTTCTATTTGTTTGCTTCACCACAAAGGCTGTTCATATAGAGTTGGTAGGTGATTTAACGAGCAACAATTTTTTATCATGTCTTCGTAGATTTGTATCGCGTAGAGGAAAGGCTAAACACATCTACTCTGATAATGGGACCTCGTTTGTTGGAGCTTATAACGAAATTGGCAAGTTTATTAGGGATAATTGCAATTCGTTATCCGATGATTTGGTGAATGAAGAAATTAATTTTCATTTTGTCCCTCCGTACGCTCCACACTTTGGAGGTCTCTGGGAGGCCGGTGTTAAAAGTACTAAGTATCACTTAAAGAGAGTATTGGGAAATTGTAATCTTACATATGAGGAACTGAACACTGTGTTAGTCCAAATAGAAGCCCTGCTGAATTCTCGTCCACTCACACCACTCTCATCGGACCCCAATGATTTGCTGCCTCTAACGCCTGGACACTTCATCATAGGACGACCACTCACAGCACTGCCCACTCAAAATTTGGAGGACTGTTCCAAGCATCACTTGACCAGATACCAGAGAATTGAGCAACTCCGTCAGCATTTTTGGTCAAGGTGGAGCAAAGAGTATGTCTCGGAGCTACAGCAGCGAGTAAAATGGAGATCCGGCACTTCGGCTCTTAAACCTAACGCTCTTGTGCTCATCAAAGATGAACATCTTCCACCATTGAAATGGCGATTAGGCCGAGTGACGACAGTATATCCGGGGCAGGATGGCATTAGTCGAGTCGCAGATATCAGGACAGCGAGTGGAGTGGTTCGTCGCGCCTTCAGTAAAATATGTCCATTGCCTCAAGATGAAGAATCTGGTTGAGAGACAGTCTCTCAACGCCTGGGGGCATGTTTAGAATTAAATTATTTAATATGTAGTTTTAAGCGCCTACTACCTTTTAAGAGCAAATAGTTCACACCTACGTGTCTTATTGCGTCAACAAAATTGCAGTTTTTATCAAATGATTTATGTATACCGCCTAGTTTTAATTTTTCTCTTCGCCTCTGTAATTCGCTCGGAATACACGCATTACAACGTTGCTGGAATATTTTATTTAAAAACTAAACCTAATAATCCTCTACATCCTCCTTTGCGAGCATTTCTGCTTCGCAGAAAGAGAGAGAAACCCAACCTAACCTAACCAGTTCCTCACGATCCCTACCATGGCCTCAACTCGGGCCGGAGCAAGAGGTCCCGCCGCCGATCTATTCCCTGATGTCACGGCGGCGCTCAGTCCAAACAGAGCATATCTCCACCATATGCTCCACCGTGTCCTCCGGGTGGTCCTCACAATGGCGACACCCGGGGGATTCGACGCCTATGCCAACCCTGCACCAGCCCGCACCTGCGTCAGCCAGAAGGTAAGGACGCCCTGGCGTCTTAACGCGAGCGAGTTCTTTAATTAAAACCATCGCTAGCGAGCCGCGGCTGCTTGCACCTCTTGTGTATATAACAAAAGTTTATTTTCCACTGAGAGCTGCTTGTTTCTATACATTAGCCAACTAGCCACCTTACGCACTTGGTGTGTCATTGTTAGGCGTTTGGTAAAAATGTACTTCCTACGTGTCAGGCGTCGGTCTAGATACTTTCCAAAATATTTTGCTTCATCTCACTGTGGAAGCTGAACAATTTTAGTGGAACTGGGGGACAAGTCTGTCGCCGCCTTGTAGGTAGATAAATGTTAGCTGGAGTGACTTTGTTTGATTGTGTTATGCAATGAACGAGTGTGAATTTGCTCGATTTGCGTGCACCGTGCTTTTCTTTGAATCCAAATCGGTGGTCAGGTGTGTACCTATTATGTGGTTTTCTTTAATAATTGGATTTAATCTTCCAAAAAATCAATGACACCATTACTTTGGATGTGATCCAGATTAGGCTAATTGGCCGATAGGATTTTTTTTTTCTTTTTTTTTTTATAAATAAACGTTGCCCCACACTAGGATTTTCTCCTGTGTCGTGGGTGCGTTTACAAACATACAATTTTCACATGCACATCACACCCAGACCCGGAACAACAATCTGTGGATCACACAAAGAGTTGTTCCGTGCGGGAATCGAACCCGCGACACGTTGCGCGGCAGCCAGTTGCCCAGCCACCGCGCCAACCGTGCAGTCAAAAGATTTGACATCATATGGGCCTTTTGCCTGGCTTTGGGATCATTATGATTTTTGCTACTTTCCATTGTGGCGGTACATATTCCCTTCGGAGGGTGATTATATAAAAAATAAGAAATCATAGATGATAATAATTAATTTTTAATGAGAAAAAACAATTCGTGATACTAAAACAAGTATATTTGGTATAGATTAATCGTGACATGTAAGACCTACATTGTAGGTAATATTTTGGTAAGTATTTCAAACATATATATTTATACGTATTCAAAACTGTGTGATAATTACTAAGGTCCGAAATAGACGTTTCAATTAACCTCACACACATGCACTACCCCAAGTTAGTGACACGGAGTATAAAGACTCTCAATTGGTGATACCGACGCGATATAAGTAGGTACTTATTTAGATTTAGCGTTTAAAGACGTTTTCTTATTTATTGCGCTTGGAATTAGCTAATATATAAAATTCTCGTGTCACAGTTTACGTTGCCATACTTGAAACGGCTTGACCGATTTTGATGAAATTTTTTGTGCTTATCCGGTATCTATGGGTATCGGCCAACACCTATTTTTCATCCCCCTAAATGTTAGGGGTAGACTACCCCTAAATTTTTGTTTTTTACTAAAAATTTTTAATTTCTATTTTTTTATGATCCAACATACAAAAATACATACATTCCTCAATTTTCACCCTTCTACGATTATTTAGTGATTTGATCATTTTTCCTCTCTGCTCGAAAATTGATCAATCGTTATTTAAGCCTGGTCAACTAGTAAAAATTTTAAATTTTTACAGGAGCCAGCCGGCACCGGTTGCATGATCCAAACTACAGCTGGTTAGGACTCCAGAGTTAGAAACTTCCTCACAATACATGCTGTTTACCGCACGAAATGCTGAATTATTATTATAGGTATGCCAACTATACATGAATACCTGCCTACCTAGCCTGAATAAAAGATCATTGACCTGTGCTTTAAAGTATAGTACCTACCATCCAGCCTGGTGGTTGTTGAGGCTTTTGAGGATTTTCATCACTATGTCAGGCTTATTGGCTACAATAGTCAGGTCAGTGATATCTTGTCCTCAGAGCAATCCCTGTACAATGTGATTAATGAGGTAGTAAGGTACCTCTGACTTAACAAGCCGGTGCTGAAAGTTGTGGACAAATACTCTTGGCCACCTGATTTTGCCTGTATTATTATAGACCCGCTTTTAGTCAGTACCTACCTAACAGTTTGAGATTCTATCTCTTTCACCCAACCCATGACCAGAAAAAACAAAATTCATTGATTTTCCATTGAATGGTGGATAAAATTGGCAATAACCATTCAATGCTCGAACTTATTCCATCATGAAAATCCGGCCATGGTACATATAGCCCGCAGGGGACCATTGTATCAGGATATTGTATTGTTTTGCATCATACACACACAGCAATTGAAGTAAATCAACACACATTTTGAAATCAGTTTAATTTTACATGCATTGAATTTGACATTCGTATCAATCGATTTTAAAGTGACAAGATAAGAAAGGCAGGGCAGGTTATATGTTATAAACTTTATTCTATTCTTATAAAAACTTAAACTAACATTAACCTATGAAGTTGATAACAACAATGTGCAACACCAGATGTGCGAATATGAAGTCTGCAAATCCTCGTTCTGCACTCAAACCTTGAAACTCATTCTTGTTTTCTGGATTCACTTGCAAACGAAGGCAAACTGAAAACACAGAATTAATTAAGTCTAATGTTCCCATTCGGTACCGCCGTAAGACGACCAGTATTAGGTCATTTCATAGACAGACAATATTTACCTGCAAGGACGAAACAGCTGACGGTGGAAATAAAACCGCTCAAGAAAGAGTTGAACGGAAAAGTGCCGACAAGGCAGCAGTAGACGAACTGAATTACAGCGGTTAGGAAAATGTATAATAAATAAGCATCGATGATTTTCAACTTTTTGGGTGTCTTGTTGGTGTATTCCTGATACAATTTGGGTATCACAGACGTTACCGATGTCATTTTGTTATAAAATGTATTTATTGAACCGGGAAATTGCAGAACACAAGCGACTTTTTTTCTTTCCGACTAATTCTGACACTGACAGCTTTGGCTTTGACACGTAAATAAGTTACACGTAATTTCATCCCATTGGACATTGATTGCGATTTATTCCATGGAATGTAGGCCATTGAAAGGAGCAAGTTATACTATTAATAAAGTACTTCATAAGATTCGTTCTTATAACTTATTTTTTTTATGATAAATCAATTTATCAACTTCAACGTTGAAGCACAAAGAGTATGTAACCACTACGTTGCATACGGAATAGGATTTTAAAATCTTACTGATATTTTAGGCCTAATTTACACCCCCGCGGAACAGGATGGGTTAGTAAAATATTTTTTTTTCTATATTTATAAATGAAGCGGGATAAATTGAAAAATAATGAATAATACCCAGTATCAGCCTCGACTATTATTACTAAATAATCATAAATAATTTTAATTCTATGATTTGTTTTTTTCTTTCTCGTAATGTCGCATCACTGATTCACTGCCAAAACTTTGAGGTCACATTCTCTAGTTAGTCTGTGCTCAATCAAAGTTTTTGACAAGTTCGCTCAACACAATTTGTGCATGTCATTCATTTGTACGCGGTTACAAATTATTAAATATTTTAAAAGTATTACTGTTAGAAATTAAAATGTTGAGTGTTAATGAAAACTTTCCCGAATATGCAGTGCCTGGAGCTAAACAAGTTCGCTTCGAACCGTACGCAGATAACGGAGGCAGTATTGTTGCCATCGCCGGTGATGACTTTGCGGTTATTGGTGCTGATACGCGTCTGAGTACGGGATTCTCGATCTACACAAGGGAACAAAAGAAATTATTCAAGCTTTCGGACAAAACCGTCCTAGGTGCAACGGGCTGCTGGTGCGACACCCTCACTCTGACGCGGCTGCTCTCAGCAAGGATGCAAATGTACGAGCACGAACATAACAAGTCAATGTCCACACCAGCCGTCGCCCAAATGCTTTCTACGATGCTGTATTATAAGCGTTTCTTTCCTTACTATGTATCTAACGTCCTGGCTGGCTTGGATGCGGATGGCAAGGGGTGTGTCTACAGTTACGATCCGATTGGTCATTGTGAACGCTCCAACTACCGCGCCGGCGGTTCCGCAGGTGCCCAGCTGCAACCATTATTGGACAATCAAATAGGTCTTAAGAACATGCAGAATGTTACTGAAACTCCCATACCTAAAGAAAAGGCATTGGCCTTGTTGAAGGATGTCTTCATTAGTGCTGCCGAGCGTGACATTTATACTGGAGACTGCATCTACATACTGATCATCACTGCTAGTGGCATTCAGGAAGAGAAGTTTGAATTGCGTAAAGATTAATTTTAATAATTTGAAAATAAATATATTCCTCAATTTTTTCATAATTATGCTTTCTACCTACCCATGTGTGACAAAGCAATCCTTTTTATTTAGTATTTTGTTTATTTCAAATTTAGGTTGTAAAAATCTTGCATATATTCACACAACCTAATAGTTACAGCCAGATGGCTGTAAGCAAAAAACAAGTGTTTTATTTAGGTATGTAACCTAGTTAAAGAAATGTAATTAATTGCAAGCCAGAAAGACTACAAATTATTTGAATCCACTACTTACTGTATTCTCACATCACAGCAATCCTAATGTAGAGCAGTTGGGCTAGTTATAGAAACAGAAACAAGTAACTGAGTTTTATTCAAATAATTACAAGGTAGGTAACTACAATATAACTTTTACACTTTGTTCATTACTATTTACAATTGTCATCAAGATAATAATATTTGATAATTTCATTTATTGTACTTAGGCATAACAAATATATTCTGTGGAAAGATTTTATCGAACATTTCACTCACTAAGTCTTGATTTGCTGTATCACCAATAATGGTAGCTTTTAACCTAGGAGGAGTTGTGTTCCCAGCAACTAAAGGATGGATATTGTAGCAAAGTTCCACTTTGCCCTTAGGTGGTATGGTCACTGATATTTTTTTGTATCCTGAGAACATGTAAGCATCCGTGCCCTCCACAGTTACAGTAAGTCTGATTGGTGTACTGCATTTGCCAAATAGGGTGCATTTCAATGGAATGGAAGTCAATAGCTCCACCACCTGGGGATACTTGACTTCTATGGCGATCGGGCAATCATCTATGGGTAGTGCTGACAGAGCTGTGCTGCTCATCACACAATGGCTAGTGTTGGACTTCCGTCGCCATGTTATATTATATAAACCAACTCTAGTTGGGTTATCTTTAGGTTTGTACTTGGCTTGTATGCATACTGCATCAGACGCTACATTCTTTTCAGCAACCTCCAGGTTACTAATGCAAGATAATGGCTTGATACTATCACTAGTCCTAAAGCACTCAATTACCTCCAACTCTGTGTCTACAATTAACAAATCCCAAGGGCTTAAGATTTTTATTTGTGGCATAACTATGAATGGGTCATCTACAAAACATTTAGCAATAGGTTTAAAATTCATAGCCACGAAATTGGTAGACACTTCAAATGGTTTTATAACTGTGATTTTAGTACAGAACTCTTTAGTGCATTCCAATTTTGTAATCTCAGGGAGATCAATATAATAAGACACTTTTATTTGCACAGTGGCAGTTGCTGTTCTATTTGTTTTCAAAAAGAATTTACTTGCATGACTGCCAGACAAACTCAGACTACCCACTTGTATGTATAATGGCTGTGTTTGTGGTTCTCCTTCTTTCAAACTCAATTCAGTTACTGAGTCAGGGTTAGGATTATCCGGGGAACCCAACAGTGATAATGTAACTTTAATATCATACACTTCATTGTCTTCGTTGTTTGTTATAGTAAGCACAGAAGGGAACCATTCGCCTTGCAGTGCTGGACTTGAGTTGGCAACCAGTAATGACAACTTGCTATCTCGAGATGTAATAGATGCTACTGTTGAAGGCACAATAGAATCAAATTCGTAATCTGCTTTGGGGCTCCTTATGAAGTGTAATAGTTCCGGGTGAATAGTTGAATCTGTGACTTTGCTGCCTTCTATCTTGAAATTCAAAACTATTTTTCGTTTCCTGTCATTGTCTAGCACAAAAGATACACTTTTGATACGAATTTCTGATCCACTATCATGAGGATTTGGCTTGAATTGGCATAAAAATCTTTTGACTTTTTCTCCTTGTAATAAAACAGTTGTGCTGCCTTCATCAATAACTGGAATTTCAATTGTTTCAGTTTGACTAGATATGGCTATAAAAGCATTTCGCACTTCAAGAACTGTTGTGTACAACAGCCTGACATATAGTTCTAATTCAACAATCTCATCCATTCTGTAGCGCGGTTGTTTAAATTTAGGCTTTACTTCTAAAAAGCTAGATATGTTAGCCATATCTACAGGAATGATGAGAGGTTCTTTCTCAATAGCTGATTGCCAGAGTTCAAGTGCTTTATGTTGTGAGGCTGCTGGGAGATCTGGTTCAGCAGCCGGTATGTTCAAATTAAGAACAGACATAATATTTCTATATATTCTGTCCTTATCATTGTTTGGTACTTGGATGTGCTTTGACAGTGCTTCAACCGAAAGTTGTAAATAGTCTTGTATTTTCCCTGACAAATAAGCACACTGTAATGCACGGTTTAAAACATGTGAAGCTAGAAACCACCACTTCTCTCTGCGATAATCCCAAAGCATATGAGTTAGCAGAGTTAGAGCTTTTCCATAATCAGCTGAATAAAAGTATTCATTTGCCATTTCAACTACTAACTGTTTTCTCATTCTAGGGGAGTGGAAAGTCTTGAACTGTGATATAGCACTGCCCAAGAAGCTAATGATCATAGCAGAGTGGTTAAAAATTCGTTCATTATATTGTAATGCTATTACTGCTGCTTGTTCTTTTTGTGGATCATGAGGATCAGCACTAAGTCGACCTGGCCTCCATGGTCTTTGGCCATAAAATTCTACTGTGCCTTCTAGTGGGTCAGGTGGTGGGGGGTAAGCCATGGCTTCTGTGCAAACAGATCTCATTGCTTGCCTTCTCTTTACTGTGAACTGAGCAGCATGCTGATAGTAAAAGCCAGGATGCTGAGATTGAATAGCTGGAAGGCCTGCTCGGATAGCTTCATCAAACAGCTCACCAAAGGTACTATACTGTCGTGCAATCCAAGCATAATGTTCAAACAATAACTCGGTTGATCCAATTCGGTTTTTATACCTTTCAATGTGTGATTTGAGTTGAGCAATTGCATCCCTGGGCAAGTTCAGAGCAAATAATAGTTTGCAGAGTTTATAATTAATATAACCTGCTACAGTTCTAACTTCATGGGTATTGGTGTCTACAATCCTTGTTTCGAGTAGGTTGTTATAGGCATGCATGTAGTGCTTGTGGGCTGTACTCAAATCTTGTTTTAGTTCATTGAGATATCCCAGCTTAAACTGGTGTCGCACAAACAAATACTGATGAGTAGTTTTGTTAAGATGGTCCCTATGCTGTTTTATGTTTTTAGTTTCATGATGGTAGTAGTTCTGAGCAATATCATAAAATGCATTCTCAAGGCGCACAATGTAGCCCATCAGGTGGTCACTATGGGGAAGCACAAATAGTGACTTGGATTGGATCTCACAGGCAGCACACAAAGCTTGAGCTCTCTCAGCACCCAGCATGTATTCAGAGGGAGGTGGAGACAGTCTGCTCTGAATAACGACGACGGCGACGCGTGTAGCATGGCCTTCTACCGCAGCGCGGATTGATTGCACTTTGGACGCACATTCGATGATCTTTTCATTCCACTGAGGGTCATTCCAATCCATATCATAGAAAATTACTACTACTGCAGGAATTAGAGATACACGTTTATGAATCCAGTTTTTCTTTAGAACACCTTTGGGAATGTACCACTCGTAAGAATTTCGCTTCGGCTTCACTACAGGAAATTCGAAGGTATTATTAAGTAACTTGAATCGCACAGGCGTACGATCTGCACGGCGATTGTTGGAAAACGCATCCCAGATTTCTTTATGGATGGCATTATTCACCGCGTCGAGACCAGATAGTCCAATGAGAGCAAGGGGCTTCAATATTATCTCAGGCGGAAACTCTGTATAGTCACTTGGCTGCGTCGCCATTATTGTCAGTTCAGTAGCGTTACCTTCAACACTGTATTAATTGTGGCTCACTAAATCATTCCATGTCACAGTAATACTGCGTACATAAGTTATGTTATATTCACAATCTTCAACGCTACTCCCCCATCATTTTTGCCAAATTGCCAATTAGACTATTTCACTATTTAGTGAACTTGAAACGTCAAAATCAATTGACGGAATAGACATTATGACAGAACTATTGTCTATGCTAAGTACCTAGCAAAATTGATTGATTCTACTTCCAACCCTTGCAACACACAATTAGGTGCAAAGCATAGATTTGTATTTCCTATATATTCGGTTTTATTCAACATCCACAGTAGAAAACTATATAATATATATTCTGTGGATTCAACACTATGATTGATATTGAACGACTGTATTTGTCAATGTCAAAGAGTGTTATAAGTAATATGGGAAGTGTAGTTGTATAGGTTTGATCTGATGTTTTGTGGACTTATGATTATCGAATTGGTGATGATACAGTTGGGTACAGTGAATTAGTTATCAACGCTTAGATTTCAAATAAAAATATTACCTTTATATCTTGGACAACACAGTAAGCCATGGCTTCTCAAGCTTTAGCATCTTTAACAGCTACGTACACCGATTCTGAGGGAGAAGAAGATATGGAAGATCAAACCCCTGAAAAAGAAGAAGTAAAGGAAACTCACTCTGAACCTGCAAGTCCAAAAAAAGTTGAAGAAATAAATAAGCCGGCTTCTGCCCCAGTTACTCCAAAAAGAAGGTTAGTTTCTTACGTTGATGACACTGTTGTGTCAGATGAAGAACCAATCTCACCTGGTCCGGAAAACCAAGATGATATGCGGCGCTTGTCGATGGAAACAGATACAGACGAGGCGGTGCCGCGATCCGAGCCTGATGAATCTGAAGATGGTGTGATAATTCCACCTGAACCACCCGGGAAATGTCCCAAGGAACTGCAAGACACCATAGCTAAGTATTATAGTCGAATGTTAAGTGAAGGTTATGATATGAATAAAATAATTCAAGATAAAAAAAACTTTAGAAACCCAAGTATTTATGAGAAATTAATACAGTTTTGTGATATCAATGAATTAGACACAAACTATCCGCCTGAAATTTATGATCCTCTGAAGTGGGGCAAAGAATCATATTACGATGAATTATCTAGAGTACAAAAACTAGAAATGGACAGAAGGGAGAAGGAGAAAAAGGAGAAATTAGCTAAAATAGATTTTATATCAGGTGTAGCTAAGAAATCTGAAAGTGATGATGAAAAGAAAAGAAAATCCAAGTGGGATCAGGCAGCTCCTAATGTCTCTAACAAGCCAACCATCAAACAACCTGGTCTGGTGCAGCAACCACTTACTAGCAATGTTACAGGAACTAAGGGAACCATTATCTCTGCATTTGGATCTTTACCAAAAAAACCTAAAATTTGACTGGAGACAATTACCCACAAATGAATGATTTGAATGATGATTCACTTTCCAGTGTTCAGGTGATTGATAGCTTACTTATACAAAATATGTAATGTGTAACATGGAGTTTGATATATTTTTGGCTTGCCTAGTGGAATGTAGCAATGTAGCAATTTTTTACTATGAAGGACAAATTTACATAAAGGCAAATTCAGTATAAAACGTTTTTTATTCTTGTATTTAGCTTTATTTTTTTTATTAGTAGTGGATCTGCCATGGCTTGGCACAGGTGCAATGCTGTTAAAAATTTGTTCACTATTTATGGATGTTACTACAAACATCATGGCCGGGAGGTTAAAAGGCACCCACTTTTCATGCATCAGGGTTTCATGGAACCCGGCAATTATCAATGTGACTTTTTCAGAGTTATAATAACTCAAACAGGTCAAAGTCACATTGGTACTTGTAAAGAACAAATTATGTTCTTTCTATGATTATTTAGACAACACTTGCAAATGGTACTTATAGGCTGATGATGTCATGTTACTATAAATGTAAAACTTCCTCTTCTATCACTCTATGTATAAAAAACCGCATCAAAATCCATTGCATTTACTTTTAAAGATTTAAGCAAACATAACATATGTGTGTATATAGAGGCAGAGACAGTTACTTAGTACTTTGTAGTGATATAACTCTCTCTCTGGTAGGCCTATAGATACCCTTTAATTATTTACTTTTATCCAGGAAACTTAAAAAACAACACAGAATTTGTCACTCAAAAATTAGATCAAAATCCAAAACAATCGACGCAGTTTCATATGCACTTAGACTTAAGTGGAAATGGGCAGGACATGTAGCAAGGTTGCAGGACAATAGATGGACAAAAATAATAACAACATGGAAAGGACCGATAGGAAAAAGAGGAAGACCGCACACACGATGGGAGGACGACATCCTGCGTGCGGCTGGAGTACGCTGGCTAGATACAGCAAAAGATCGAGAAAAATGGCAGTCTCTGGAGGAGGCCTTTACCTCAGGGGTTCCCTAATAAAATTAATGTAAAATTTGTTGTAAATGTAAATTTTTTAAACTGGGAAATATAAGGCTTTTTTATTTTATCCAGGAAACTTCATGGGATGGCAACTTTTAAAGCACTGAAGCGACTACACGCAAAGGTCTTTACAATCTGTCAGTCTGTTACTCAGAATAAATAAAGCTCTGTGCCGCTCACTTGCAGTTGAAGTCGCGCGTATTAACATTAAGTACCTATTTATTTGCATTTAGGCTTAGCTACCTATATTCAGAGAGAAAATGAGCAACTATCTATGAGAGGAATAAGGTATGGAATTTAGTGAAATGCTCCTCATTTTTGCTTTTCACTAAAAATTTAATGTGTACTTTTAAAGGAATGATTATACTTCTAACATGACAGTAAGAGCCTGATGACACTCCCTCTCGCCATACCTGTGCCTGTGGGGAGAGAGGTCATTTCATTTTCCCTCAAAATGCCCTGCTATTAATTTGTAGTTCTAGTTAAGTTTGCTATAGAAGCGTAATTTTTTAAGCTTATAAAAAAGCCTGTTAATGAAAAATAAATTGCCATCTACTTCAAACATCTTCCGATCTCAGTAATATTTAAAATGAGATACAACGGTAAGACCATCTAGATATATGTATACATAGAAAGAAACTATCCATTTTGACTTCACGGTTGACGCGGTAGCTGGGCAAATCGATGCCGCGCAACGTGTGTGTGTGGGTTCGATTCTCGCTCGGAAAAACTCTGTGTGATCCACAAATTGTTGTTCCGGGTCTGGGTGTTATGCGCATGTGAAATTGTACAATACCGCCGACGTATCTTGGCGAGTCTGAAGTTAGCCGATTAGCTGCGCAGTACACAATTATGTTCCTAAAAGATCCATTTCGCTTTCGTACTGTATGTTGGTAAACGCAACCACGACACAGGAGAAACACTTAGTGTAGGGTTGAGTTTTTTTTAAGAAAATAAAGATTGCATGCGGTGGAATAACAAACTTGCGCCTGGCGCAGAACAAATGTTTCGTGGCTCTTCTGGGGCGCCTACGTACGCTTAGGCTTTGATAGCTCTTCTAAGGAGTTTCTTCTATCGCTTTTAGTTTTTTTTTTGTTTTCAATCACTGCGCGTTAGTCGCCTATAGGTACCGAACGCAAGCGGTTTAACTGCTCGTTGAGTATAGTAATTGAAATCGTTATGCTAGTTTGATATTTATTGTTTTTTTTTAGAATTACTTAAAAGAAAATACATCCCAGATTCACAAATTGAAACGCAATGCGACGACGAGTTTCTCGAAAAGCCTCTGGGTGGGCCTTTATTAGGGCTTTTTTGGCTGTAGCCCAAGGATACATTGAAACTTTACTATAATTCGTTAACATCTTTATTGCCTAGACTTATAGTTTCTGCCTAAGTACAAGTAGGTAATTCTTTAGTCTACTTCACAGCAGTTATTTTAATGGCAATCACTTAATTGATTAAGTAGACCCTCAAATGGTTTTTGTCCAGGCCTAATCCGCAGATAGTCTGTTTCTTATAATAAGGCTTAGGTACAACTAAAGTGTGCTTTTTGGAGCAATAATAATAGCAGCTCAACGTATGTTGCCCCCTACTAGCCCGCTGCCCGCTACTAGCGGCCTTTTTCGGGGGCCCATTAATTGAGTTTGCCAGTCACCCCCTGCCTGTTTATCCGTATATCCGCATGTATCTATATTGGTCAGGGGCAGGGCTATAGTATTTCCATAGTTATCATGTCCACCAGTCCATAGCAACCCATACCCATAACCCTTTCAATTATTACCACAATTCGCAATAGTCCTGCATCAACCGGGGTGGGTGCACTTTCATAGTGCATACAGGGATAATTGCCGGCTGATGTCCCATTTCATTTATATTAAAGTTTTTCAAAGGGCCTCTGCGAGTGGGCTTCGGCCCCTCGCACGCCTTCCTAAAGTCTGGGTCCCTGTGGTCCCGTAAGTGGAAAGAAACATACAATATAATAATAGTCTTTATTTCAGATCAATGTCCATACGTAATTACAAAATAATGAAGATTCATAGGTACTTAAACTATTCACATTTGCAAAAGAAAAAGCAAAAGCAAAATATCCTGAGCTGAAAGTTGAAACTGACAACCAAAGAGTATGTAACCACTACGTTTACTGACAACTTTAAAGGAATCACAGATAGGAATGCAACCAAACCATAGATTATACACTATAGTCTATAACTGGAATGTTTTTTGTAGTTCTTTGAACATTTTACATTGGGAAATTCTAAGTTTCACGGCCCTGTTGACAACTATAATATCTTTGTCTGTAAATGGTATAAGGCACAGAATACACTATATTTTTCTTAATCTAAGGGTACAAGGTACGATGGTATATCTTTACCTATATCATATCATACTAAAATAATTACCTCAAGTGTATAGGTTTACCCAACCGTACGGCGCGTACCGTTCTGGTGGCGTTCTGTGCGCTTTTTACGTTCGGTGATACAACACCAAGAGACCACCACAGACGGGGCCCTGTAGGGCTGATGTTATGTTTAGTTGAAGTTGCGAGCTAAGCGCAATAAAGCGTAGGTAAGAGTTTTAAGCCAATAAGAGTCTGACACACCCATTCTTGGACACACCCTACCGTCCCGTCCTGGCCACTTGGAGTCATTTGATGATTTTTCTCTCACAAAATAAAATGTGTAGTTTTAATATTAGTAATGTAATAAATTAAAGTTCTAGCTTCCGTTCTAAATACGGTACGTATATATGGGCTTTAAATTTCTTTATTCATAAAATAGTTTCGGTTTTTATACGTCAAAACTGAGCACATAGAGTATGTAAACCTTTCACTGAGCACATCTCTAATATGTATTGGATTCATTGACATAGGAAATATATGGACTTGAAATACCTACGAAAAAAAGGTGCCTACCTACAATCCAAAATGTCGCATAAGATGGCTGCCGTTGCTAGGGTTGTGCCGACTAAGTATTTAACGAGTATCGATACAATTTGAGTAAAAGTTCTACGTAGGTATAGTTTTAGGGATTAGCCAGCTGATTAACGGTATTTTTTTATGGGAAATCATCTAATGTCATTTCCGGCCGTTACTGACTAAAATCAACTCCTGTTCCTACTTTGCCGTCGGCCTAGCTAGAGCCCGGAAACCGGGGTTAACTTGGTCTCTTGATTTGCTAATGATCTTCTCAAGTCGAATTTGTATTCATATAATTCTACGTAAAGCGTCTTTTAAAAAAATAGGACTGTGTTTATGAACAGCGTTTAATGGAATGGTGAAATAGAAAAAGATAGTGTTTGTTAAATGTTTATCTTTATATATGTGGAAAAGCTGTGGGTATTTGTGAAGTGCTCGCGCACAATTTAGGCGCGTCTGATTAAACGATGATATCTTCGAAACTACGTTAGCACAAAATAGATATGTAGTGAAGTCAATCTTATTGTATGTATCTCACTTTTTATTATTACGCTTGGTGGTCGCACTGGGATCGTCGCCAACGCCGCTCTGTCAATCGCGCCCGTAATAAAACATGATAATTTGAACTTCTACTTATGTAACTAAAACCAATACCAAAATACTGATGTCTTACTTTAGCGTTACACAAAACTGCGGAAACATCCATTGTTAAAATAGATTATTTAGTATAATATATGTTGAATTTTAAATGGGAGATTATATCGATACTTTTGTGAAATGGTACGTAACTATGCCATATTGACATATTATTGTAAACAACAATTTTTTACTAAAACTGTCTCACAGACAGAAATAAAAGTAAATATATATACTTTGGCAATAGATTAAAGTATCCGTGACATTTTTTTCTATCTATGTGGATTATTCTAAGTAATATTTGATGAAAACTGTTTACTAACCTATACAAAGACAATTGAGGTTGATTTTCGTTCTTTTTTGCACCACACTGCACAATACAACACACAGGCATATTGTTTTTTTATTTCACTATATATATTTGAAGTTTAAAAAAATGGTTCTTTGTAATTTACTGAAAAACCGCAATAATTTAAAACATAAACAACCGTTTGACAGGACAACTACCATGAAACTCAGGTACTCTGAGCGCTTAAGATGGCGGACATGGCACTTACCTACAACTTTGCTAATGTCAAAATGATTTGTTTCCATATTAAGCAACAACTTAAATATTGTTGTCCCTTTTGTCTAATACAATTATTGCCTTAGAAAGAGTGAGAAAAAATGATATTTCATAGTTTGTTTCATATTTCCCTCATATTTGTATAAGCATGTATACTTCTATAGTAACACGGCGCCTCTATATATTTTCTATCTCAATGATTGGATTGGGTTGATGAGTGCGGGACTGCGGGAGGGTGGGCATTTGATCTATATAAACACAACAAACCTTTACCTTTGTTTGTTACGAAGTTCGTTGATAGGTACTTGTTTCGCGTCATAATTTTAGCATCCATCTAACGCGTTTGTTTCATAATATTGTTGTTATTTACATTGTGCAATGGCTGATACTATCGAAAGTGAGCCAATACCATCGTCTAGTGAGGGTGAGGTCGGGACTGATGCAAAAGATTCCGATGAGCCATTGACTAAAAAACGTAAACTAACCGACAAAGAGGGGAGTGACAAGCTCGAGCATAGGCTGGGGGGAATCCTCTGCTGCGCAGTTTGCTTGGACCTGCCTCAGGCGGCCGTGTATCAGGTATTCTAAAACAGCTGATTGTGTTGATAACTTGATACCCGCATCAGCTGTTTTACAGATTTTTCTTTGTTACGTAAGTTGAGCCTTCAGCTCACAACAAAGGTGATATTGGAGTCGTAGTCATCTACCTTTACGACGTCGCCTTGTTACCCAGTATTGCGTTTAGTACCTTTAAATTTACCATTATTGCAAGTAATGTATTCGTTTATGCTTTGGTTATCATTGTAAAAATACAAAAGACGAGTATCTGTGATACCCTTTGTTTTGGGTCTTGTTACTTATATTATGGATTTAATAAATTGGATAATGTGTGTGTGTGACCAATGACCTATTTGTATGACTTTGTACATCATCTGAACAAATTGTGTTGTTTTGTGAGTACAATATTAGGATTTAAGTATCTGTGATATTGTATAGACTAATATTAGATTATGATCAATAGTATAATAGCAAGTAAACATAGTCGTACATAAATAATCTTGTAACATTTCATTTTCAATAAAGAAATGTTTCAGAGATTTTCTTCTTTCTTTATTTAGAAATCCCTTAACACTCCCTATCCCGAAATAAAAATCCTAATCAATGCAGTCCTCGTCAATGATTTTTTGCTTAAATACATTAAATATTAACTATTTTATCACTATGTACCTATGTCATCTGTTACAAGTGAAATTCTAAGTAATTTAAAATAAAAAAAATATTTTTTTTATTTATTAAAAAATATTGTTTGTTTTTCTGGCATACATAAAGCACTATTCTGTTTTAATTGTTGTTCTTGGCAGAATGCAATATTTACTACATACCTTGAAGCAATATTGAAAAACAGAAAATTACTTTTTCAGTTACAGAATTATTTACAATGTGTAGTTTGATTACAGGTATCACATGCAATCATGGCCGGAGGTAGACCACACCATAGCACACACCTTTCATCCTTAACTTACTTTCAAAATATTAGCATAATCATAAACAAATTAATTTTAATTGGAATAATGCAGTTGCTATTTAACTTATATGATATGATGTGATGTTGAACACCTTGCAAAGGACCAATGTGGGGCCTGCCTGACATGGTTGTTATGTTGCAGTGTAGCAATGGTCACCTCATGTGTGCTCCATGCTTCACGCATTTACTTGCGGATGCGCGGCTGCGCGACGAGGCGGCTACGTGCCCAAACTGTCGCGTGGAAATATCTAAGACGTCCGCCTCCAGAAACCTAGCCGTCGAGAAGACAGTCTCGGAGCTCCCTTCCGAGTGCAAGTTCTGCACGCGCGTGTTCCCGCGCCACTCGCTTCAGCACCACGAGGAAAACACGTGCGAGGAGAGGTGACGCTTTCATGCTTACTTTAGCACTTAGCTCGGACAGAGCCGGCCAGAGTCGTAATGATGCGTTCATAGTAGTCGCACGCAGCGATGCGTAAATAAGAACCTACAAAGCAGTAGATGGACAGTAGTATCAAGTAACACTTTGTACAAGCACAGGCTGTGTAAACCTGGTGTGTCATGGTACATCAGTACAGCTGCCGTGCTCTCGCTACGCGCCTTGCGCGACGCTGCTGCCTTAGGTACTTGCTTAATTTAACTTAGGGCTAACACGGCTCTGTTAACAAAGCTACATATTTGTTCCTCCAGGGAGTTCAAGTTCTCGCAAATCGTAGTCGATTCGATATATATAGTTTGCTTCGCATTGTGTCCTCTATATACTTGACAGTGGCGTGCGTTCGTGCAGCGGAATGTTGTTGAATTTAAAGATTTTAATTATGCAGATATTTAGTGTATGACGTCGTATAATTGTGTATGGTAAAAAAAAAATTGTGCACGCAACCATTGTGGAGAAATTCACCAAAAACTGATTCCACTGGGCGAACGTTGTCCTGGCGGAACTTTTTTTAATCCATAGAATTTAGAAGAAAAGAGATGTATCCAAAAATTAGTGTGTATTTGTGTGTAATTGTGTATGTATGAATAAAACTAGTGCATGCATAAACTTTGGAGAAATTCAAGTTTCCGCTACGCGAACGTTTGGCCATTAACTAGTTTTCATATAAAGCGCTTACAAAGAGAGCTGTAGATTTTTACATACGTTGTTTTGAATTTGTGTATATTTGTTTAAAAAACAGATTTAGAAAAAATCGTAGGGTTTAAAAGATAAAAATATAAACGTAAAATACGCTTATTAGGTCTTAGTTCTTAAAGTATGCACTTTGGGGTCTAGATTTTCACGTTTATACAAACCTTGTAAGTGTCTGCAACATGTTGCCAAGTATCAATGATGTTCCGTTAGTAATTAAATAGTTATAGGACAAATTTACATGAATAGATCACTGTTTACAAAGCAGTCAAATATCACGACGTTCTAAATGAATTGCATGGTAAAATGTATGCCAATAATTAGTGTATTCATTCAACTATTCACATGCAAAATTTCATGTCATTAAATTCAGTAATTAAAGAAAAACAATTATAATACTGACGAAGTATCGAAAACCTACATAACCCGAACAAGTTCGGATGGCTACAAAAAAGCGGCCGTGCCTCTCTGATAAGTATATAAATATAATAGTTAGATATCAGAAAGTGTGAGATGGTTGTACCCGTGGTGGCAGGCTGACGGGGTGTCGCTTCGCGTGCATCGGATGCCCGTGGCGCGGGCCGGCGCACGAGGGCGGCGCGCACGAGGCGGCCTGCGCGCACCCCGCCAAGTCGGCCGCCGACGTCGTGGCCACGCTGGCCGAGCGGGACCGCCGCGCCAGCGAGGCTAACGCCATCTACAACCAGGTGCTAGATCTGCTCTCCTACGAGAAAATTGCCTTCAACGGTAAGTTGTACATCATAGCCAGCATTCACATCAATTCAATTATAAACGATGCACGAAAGAGCACATCGAAACCTTTTCAAAACTACCGGAAACATTTCAAGCAATAGACGTTTTCTCGAACAATTAGCTGGGTTACCTAACTTACCTATACCTACCGTCTTTGGTAGATGTTACCTAAACTCATGGGAATATTTGTACCTGACAGTAGTTAAACATGGCAGAGCCTGCTTACAACAAGAAATATGTATAAGGTTTCTTTGTATTGTTTTTGATTTTATGTATTTCTTTATAATGTTACTACACTATTGTATTAGGAAACTCCTGTGATAATAGTTGTATGTTGGTGATAAATAAATAAATAAATAAATGTTGCAGATCTACAACTGAAGCCGTACCGTACGGAGGAGTTCATGCACAAGCTGTACTACGAGACGTCGCGGTTCTCCGCCTTCGGCCACCAGTGGGTGGTGAAGGCCTTCGTCAACAAGAACCAGCGCGACCCCACGCAGAGCTCGCAGCGGGAGATCACCTACCAGGTACTGTGGCTGCCAGTGTTAATAGTTCAACACTCACAGCAGAAGAGCAGCGAGCCTTGGCCCCTTGTATAAATTTCGTTTAGCTTACGAAGGGTAATATAATAAAAGATAAAAAAATACAAATGGCAGTCACAGAGAGGTTACACATTAGTTTCTTGCTTGATGTTGCCCTTATGCCTGACGTTTGTTGACTACTAAAAAGCCTCTATCGAAACCTGGGCTGTTCTGGAGTTCTTGTAACGGTGCCAAGTCGACCGGTCGTCGGTGGTATGCCCGCGTGTTGAGAGATCTGTCTGATGCTTCAACTATGTCTAAGCGACGTATTTCGGAATTTTATAACAATAAGCTGTACAGTCGACCAGTTTTAATAACCTGACCATGATAGAGCATAATGTACGTGGTGACGTGCAGCTGATCCTGAAGAGCAAGACGTCGTGTGCGCTGGGCGTGCAGTGGGTGGCGCTGCGCGGGCCGTGGGGCGAGGCGCGGCTGGGCGCGGCCGTGCGGGCGCACAGCTTCCACGAGGACGCGCCCGACGCCGCGCCCGCGCCGCTGCCGCTGGCCGACCGCGGGGACACCAACCGACTGCTCTCCAACAAGGCCATACACTTCCGGTACCTCGCTTCTATACCACTTTGTTCTACCAATACACCAATTACTTCCGTGTACGCAGCCTGCTCCCAACCCAGGCTCATAATTTAATGTACTGTTACTATGTATTGCAAAAACAGAAACGTGCAACAGTGAGTAGTGTGCGGCGGTCGTAGACTGATCACTGAATGGCTGACGTTTGTTTCAGCCTGATCATGTTCCTGTCGACGAAGTGATCTCCCCGCGCAGCCCATCTACTGTTGAGCTGTATCGTCTCGCACTCACACCACACTGCGTTTACCAAAGAACAATGCAATATTCCCTCATTCCACACATACATACCTGCAACACACAGTTATACAGTACACCCATACATACATTTGGTATGCGTATAAATATACATAAATTAGTTTCAAACCTCAAAATGTAAATCGATATAATTAATTTATAACACTCGGTAAAGAAGCATGGACAGATTTTTCACAATGGGGTAAATTCGCGCATTCTATATTTTTACATTATTTCTCACAAATTTTCAACACACATTGCTTTTCTTAATCTTTCGTCAATTACCCACTACTAAATGCTATAAAATAATGATGATAACGAAAAATTTGGCCATGGTTCGCCTGACAGGGCAGCACTACGATTGATCCGCTGAAAGATTTTAGTATATGTTCATAATTTACTTGGACAGTGATTTTATATTATGAAGTTTAATTATTTATTTACATTATTGCATGATATTATTATTTTATAAATGATCTATAATAAATTAAAAAGGCAGTTTTTGAGATTATAATTGAGTACAAACGAATAATGATTGGAATTTGTTGACTCATTAGGTTGTATTATTGAGCAAATCGAATATAACTCGAAGCTGTAGCAATGGGGCTCCGACACTCGCTCTTTGTGAAACTAGTTGAGTCGGGAGCCGGGCTGCTGTCTCATTGACTGAGTCAACCGGGTACAATGTTTGGAGCTGACTACTGACGCCTATTTATAAATTTTGATTTTGTACAAATTTGATGTATCTTGAGTGTACGAGTTTTAGTTATGGACCTGAATGTAATGTTATGACAAGAATGTGTTTGTGTAGTCAGCTGGGGCCAGGTTACAATGGTAACTTTATATGTATAGCAATATTGTTTTATTTACATTTAGTAATATTTCTGGGTTTCGATAAAAGTGCTAACTTATTAAATGCTTTGTTTTTTTTTCAACATACCATCTGTTAGGGTCTGTTTTTCCACCCTCACATAAGTAAAGAAGAGATCTTATGATCTCTATTAATTTATCTGGCAGATAGTTTATACAAATTATGATGTATACCTATTCAACATGTTGCACATATTCCAGGTAAGGTGAAGCTGTGACAAAATTGCCCATAACCCACAGCTGTGCTTGTAAGACAATAGTATTCCTCCATATCCGTGGACACATCCTACTCGCTAACAAAAGGAAGAATGCACACAATATGTCTTTTCTAAAATTAATATGAGTACTGACTCTCTATTACTGTGTGGTTTGTACTGCAAATACTTTTTATAACCACTATTCTGGATTTCATGTTACATGTTAGAACGGCAATCAGGGTTTAAAAATGTTGTTTACTTGGGCAAGACAAATATTATGCGGTTTTTAGTTAGAATTTATTTCAGTATGAAACAGTGATAACGTCAATAAGGCTTGTGCCTATTCATATGCAGCTTGTTCATAGACTGAGATATCTTGCCAAAGGTAGTTCCGTTTTCGGCAGCTTCACTTCCAGTCCATACCGAGATGATGGCTGACTCGCCCGTAGTCACCAATATGTCGCGCTGAGGAAGCACAATATGAGGTCATGTGTCTTGTGTACAGCATGTTAATGTGTACATGCGAGAGAGTGATATGGTTTCAAGTATGGGAGAGCCATACTTTGACACAAAAAACTAGCGTGAAACAAGCACAGCGTTGTTTCGCTGTATGAGTGAGGTTACCGGAGGCCCAATCCTTCCCCTCCTCAATCCCTAATCCCCAATAGCTCGGTAACGCACTTGTAACTCTTTCGCTGTTGCCGGTGTCCATGGGAGGCGCTGATTGCTTACCATCTGGTAATTCGCCAGCACGTTTGCCTTCTTATATATTCTATATTCCATTTACATAAAAAAATTCGTAGAATACTCACGTCCTTGTCGTACCAGCTGCAGCGCACGGTCTGCCGGTTGCTGGGGAAGCGCGCCGCGGCCTGCAGCCGGCCGCCCGACACCGTCGCCGACCGTAGCACGTGTCTACAAGAGTGGTCACACACATTATATTACAATTCCACCACTACTATCTAGTCAATTCAATTGCCATGAAATTTATTTTTGATGACATTAATTAATATTGATACCCTCCTCTGAACCCCCCATTCCCTAATTTGGAATACTCAAAGTATAGCTCACAAATTGAGGCAGGTGTTTGCATGTAGGTTAAGATAATACGAACTATTGAAACTATGAAATAATGTTGTAATGTAGGTATCTTACCCATCTCCCCCGTAAGAGCCAGCTAGTACCACCGGCGTGTCGTCTATCGAAGTGTATGCGTCTACCAAGTAACAGTCATCTGCTTTACTTCTCTGTGGATTTACAACAGCATAAGTTAATGTCTTTAATACTGAAATATCAGTTAAAATTCAGCACTTTTCTCCTTTTCTCTTTTTTGTAAAAAGTCTGAACCACATATAGGTGGAATCTCAGTTGCAGGTTGAGCCACTGTGTGACTGCATGTATGTGCACAAATCTGATGTGGTTTCATCTGCATCTCACCTTTATACTCCTAGATATTTTATCTCTAGTGAAAGTTCTCAGCAAGTCCCCTCTTTCAGCATCCCAGAACTGCAGGTCATTAGACTGAGTGATACAGGCCACCTGCTTGTCATCCAGCCAGCTTAGCTTCTCAACAGAATTTTCTACATTCAGGGAATATGTTAGGGCATCATCTTCACTCAGTTCCATCACATTAAATATATTTATAAGACCATCCAAGGACCCTGTAGCTAATATCTCAGTCTGTGTCTTGTGGAATTTCACCTGTAACACACAATTTGGATTGAAACAGAAGCAAGCTCGACAAAAGCTACCCGGGTAATACTGTATAAGATCACCAGATTATTTTTTAGTAAAAATGAAGCACCTGTGTAATGTCATCAGTGTGGGAATTCCAGTATCCACCAAGAGGCTTTGTGATGCGACTATCCCAAAACACCAAATATGCATCATCCTCCACCAACTGGCTGCCCGCACATAACACCCTGCCATTGCAGGAAATGTCCATGCATTCATATGGTCTCACTAGCTCCTCCTCTTCATCTGTAAAAATACATTGTGTCATATTAAAGTGCTGCATTAAAACTAGGGGAATAGTGTCTTATTTTAATGTAGGTAACCAACCCTTATATTCCTGTACACAAGTGCCGCTGGCCCGGGTATCCCACAGCTTGACTAGTCCATCCTGTGCAGCTGAGTAAACTAGATTATCTTCCTTGGGGTCACAAACCACTTCTGTAAGCGTTTTCTCATGTCCACTTAGTTTGCAGACTTTGGAGACAGATGTATTGTTTAGTTGGTATACCTCTATGCTATTGTCCGACAGACCCACTACTAGTTTTAATGATCTGGAAATTTCGTTCGGATGAGAGAGTAATTTAATGTGTACAATAAGGTAATAATCAGTTAATGGTAGTCATTAAAATCAAAATGTACTTACTTTGTCGCATGTAATTTATTTATATAGCATTTTTTAAGTGACACCGCATACTCTGTTAGCAGGTTGTACTTTTTTCGGAAGTGTTGTTCTAAAACTTCTGGCTCTACTGTATCTCTGTCGATTTCTCCATCATCGATTATATCAGCCATCGTATGGTCACTTTTAGTGTATGGTTTAAGGTTATTTTCGATGTGTAGAGTGTAGTGTAAATGGTGTAAATAAACAACGTTTTCAGGTTATTTCATTTGACACATGAATGAAACAGCATGAGCAACTGTTGACATTGTTGACAGTGACATACGTAGGATCTATATAAAGCCCATAAACTAGAAAATACCTAATTTCTCCATGAAAGCGTATTGTACTTCGCTTTTTTTGTACATTGGGGTACGTACTGCCACCATGGAGGAATTAAATAATAATAAATTAATACTCGTGAAAAAGGAATGTAGGTTGGGGTGGTTAGGGATCAAATTTAAAAGGCAGAAACCTCTTCACAATACGTACCGTCTCTAGGAGAACTACCGGCCGGTAGCCGTTAGCCGGTTGTAATACAGAAGTATTACAACCGGCTAATTCCAGCCTCTTAAAGTTGTTGTTCAGGCTATACTTGCGCATTACCTCTAAGTACAACCGCCGAAATGAGGCATTTGGCGTATAGTTTGGGTAGAGGCCGCTTGAGCACAGCTCCTGTCCTTTCTAACTTGGGAGCCTAACCGGTTGTCGAGACCATTTTTTTTTGGTATCGAGTTGGAAAATCTGTACTGTCAGACTCTTACTGACTAAAATCCATCCCGGTGTTCCCCCTCTGACCCATGTGTCGGAGGGGCGGGTATCGCGGAAGCATTCGTCGCAACCCCCCGACGGGTATTGGCCCGCCAGATGGTTAGGCGGGCCCCGTCACCCCGACCGCAGGACTCAACTGTGAGGCGCGAACATCACGGCCTCGCAGAAGGTAGCGACGGCACTCCACCCTGACTCGCTCCCGACCATAGTGGACACTACAGTTGGAAGCGAGAGATTTCCCGCAGCGCGCCTATGGCCGCGATCAGGTCACGGCGGTTCTCGGCCTAAGCTGGGCACTCCATCAAGGTATGCAGCGTCGTATCGTCGCGGCAATCACCACAATGGTGGCACTGAGACGTCGACTCTCGACCTATGCGACAAAGGTACTTCCCGAAACACCCGTGTCCGGTAAGCACCTGCGTCAGCCGAAAGCTGAGGGCGCCGTGGCTCCTATTGAGCCACTCCTCTAGAACGGGCCTTACCGCCGCTATAGCGGCGTGCCCCGCCGTGGGTTGCGCTAAACGCGTCTGCCACTCCGCCACTAAGGCCTGGCGGAGTACTGCCCTGCGTGCCTCAACCTGTCGAGGCACCAGGCGCTCGCCCCGACTGCCTCAGCGCGTCACCAATAGAGCAACACGAGTTTTGCGTCGAGGTCACCGGTTGTCGAGACCTAGGTACACTAAATTTTACGTGAGTCGTGAACAGTGCGATTACATCATTATCAGCTTTTAGAGAAATGTTTCTATTCTATGGCCGAGTATATGGCTCATAAGGAAAAAACTGTTTGGGCTAGGTACCATAAATTCTTAATATTGTATTATTAGTTTTTAAGATTTTAAATTGTTATTTGTTCTTAATTTTTTCTAGTTGATAAATACCCTTTTCATTTATATTTGTATGCCGATGCTACGGCGAAACATGCAGAACTTATAAGAAATGTTACATCTATGTACCCCGTGTTTCATACAAATAAAGATTTCTTATTTCTTATCACACCCAGAGCCGGACCAATTAGTGGATCACACAAAGAGTTGTTCCGTGGGGAATCCAAACTGGCTATCAAGCCACAGCATCAATAGATATTAATACGATTTCACAACAAAAAACCATAAAGCTAAAAATAATTGAAAATGAAATATAAAATGCAGGCTGCGGAGGCTCACAGGCGAACCCGCGGCTACTCTCCTCTCACTTCTCTTCGCGACGTGCTTAACCACGGGCATTTCCTTGTTTTCGGTTCTGTGACTATTTTAATTTAACGGCATTAAAGCCTATGTTATACAGACCACAAGTTTCATTTATGAAGTCCCGTTAGTGCTCCTTCAAGCTTCCCCCGCGTCTAAGCAATTAGTGAAAATATAAATAAAAAATGGTTTCACGTACCTATTTAACAATATTTTTATTGGCACGTTAAATACAGTTACTTAGTAACAATAAGTAGCTAGTAAGTAAGTATCCTAATTGTGTTATGGAAAATAGGTACCTACATTTTTAAATATAAGTAAGTGATAGGTATGTAATTTCACAAAAAGTAGGTAGGTATATGATTTTATTATTATCTAGGTAGGTTAGCGTATCACTTGTAAGTAGTTCTGCGCTGCGTGCCGCGATACCTCGGTCCAATACGTTCTATGTCTCCAGCGGCCAGTCTGGTTGTCAATGTTCTCAATGGTATCGGAGGAATGCTGTTCAAATCGCTCGTCGGATCCGAAAATGCCCAACGGATATAGCGTTCCATCCTGATATGGTCTAGCATAAACAAAATAATATGTATATGTAGGTAATCAGAATATATTTATCCATAGCCACGCACTGGCATAGACCTATTCGGACATGGACAAAGTTTGAGATTGGAACTTGCACGATATTGTCTTTCAACGTACCTACGTATATCACAGTGCTGTCTATAAACTTAGAAAGTAAATATAACTCGAAAAAAATTATTGGTAAATAGTAGGTACCTAATAAAAGGCTATTATTTAGTGTTTACTCAAGAAAAAGATAAAAATAGACTCCATAGATATATAAACCCTAACCTATTATAGTCAGTGTTTCAGTGCGTTCAATGCCACCGAAACTTGGACGAGATCAAGTAGTATAAAATATCTCAATACTCAATACCTACTCAATATCTTGATCATTCTTCATCTCCAATCTACGGAGATGTCAAACTTTGAATGTGAATCAGAACTGGCCTTTATAAGCGGTGTAACTCGAAGTGGCTACCGATAGGAGCAGATAGACCGAGGCCATTTTCACTTTACAAACCTTAGGTACATATACATACAAGTACAAGTAAACATAGCCGTTTTCGCGATCACTTACCTCTTAGTCTACCATCTCAATTTATTATTCCTTTTACATAATCATACGCATTTTTCCATTGGAGGTCACCATTTGCGGTTCCTCGAAAGGGACGAGAACACATTGTAGGCGGTCGATAATCTAAAATTCAGGCGTCGCAAATCTCCGCTCCGTATGAACAAAAAAGGGGTAGAATGGCCAAGGAAGTAAAAAAGTGGTGATTGTGTACCAATTGCAGGGTCGACGATCGCGAACGCCCGCTTGAGGCTCTCGACGCTGACAGTGTTGTTGGCGGCGTGCTTGCCGCCGAGCTCGCCGACTACCTCCCTGATGTACTTGTCCTGCGCGAGCTGTCGCTGCCGGAATAGCTCGCGGGCGAACTCCACTCGATCAAATCCTTCCTCGTTCTAGCAAGAGAACATAACCAATAATTTAATACCTGCTTCGATCATCTTTATGTATGATCTACATGATATAAATCTTCTAAATGAATCTACCTACATGAAATAAATGATACTATACACAATTAACCACCAAATAAATTACATCTTGCATTAACAATTTAATACGTTTTTAATTTGAAATAATATTGATTCTAAAAACAACTATTTAACGCTCTTCCTCTCTCCTAATTTTATTAAATTTGTACGACAGGGTCCATATTGTTCTATTCTTCTCACATATACATTCTATCTAACATAATATAACATCTTTCTTTACCTACATATGGAATGCAATAAAAGATTGATTGATTAAATCCTAAGAATATGAGATAGACCCCAAACACGAGAAGGTACTTCTGCCGTACTGATTGGCTCATCTATACTATAATATTATAAAGAGGTAAAATTTGTAAGTTTGTATGTAGGGGTAATCTTCGGAACTGCTGGGCGGATTTCCAAAATTCTTTCATTAATTGATAGCTATAATGTTCCCGAGTGCCATAGGCTATAAAACATCACGCTACAATCAAAGGGAGCCGAGGAGCGGGTGAAACCGCGCGGGAGTAGCTAGTGATAGATAAAGCCGTGATGTAGTTACAGGTATACCGTAACATAGTTATACGAGAGCCATTCATTAGTTTGACTAAAATTATGAATCTACCACAGAATCAAACAGAACAATATATTGGTTTCGGGTTTGAGCTTCTGTGAGACATATTTAATTAGTGTACTCACGTAACTGTTTGGCGGGATATATCGACTAGTGTAAAACCGACAAACAACTCGCTAACTGCTCTGGTATTGCGGGTAATCGTGGGCGGCGCTGATTGCTTACCACCAGGGAAACAGTCTGCTCATTTGCCACCGATTCTCTTAAAAAATTAAGCAGTAAGAAGCTGTTACCTCCTGAAACAGTTTGTCCAAATTGATTTCGTTGCTGTTGATCTTCAGTTTGAGCTGCTTGCGAACTACGTCCATCAGATTCTTGATGTCCACTTCGCTCTTCAGCGGAAATGTTGACTTTGCAATTTTCTCGAATTCTTCAATGGAAATTGTCTGTTGAACCAGGTTGAACCATAAAGTTGGAATGGAGTTTTTTTTTATTAAAACTAATAGTAATGTTTGAGCAAGAATGTTTAATGTTTTATTACATAAGAAAATTACCGATATTCCGTAAAATGACTGCCTAATTACCTACCTATACATAATTTTATGCTTTCTCCATAATTTCACCGTACCCTTCGGGTGGTCCTCAGAGTGGCGATATCGCGGATTTTCTTTCGCTGAGTCACTCACACATTACATCCCGAAACTCCCGCAATAGCGTCTCTCTAGTCACTCCTCAAAGGGTACTGTTATAAGTTACAATAGCCCTAACATACATTAATATAAAACCGCTGACACCGCATCCCCGTCGCTCACGTGAATGCGACACGTTTACTTAACATTACACATTTTATTTCATTTATTGCAATGACACACTTACTTTGGACCTTGTGGCGGACACACTAAGGGTTTTGTAATTTTACTATTTTCTTATTATATTTCTAGACAGTCCAAAAAGTGTTTTTTTAAGCGAGTAAGACTTTGCCCGATAACAGTACCGCTGCGATATCAGCGTGCGTGACGCATTTTGGTTTGATCGGTTACTGACATCAGTACAACTGCATAATGTGAACATTCTTACGGATATTAGTAGGTAATCTAGCTAAACTCTACGTAGCTACACCCATGCAATGCACCAGGAAAAGAGCTAGCTTGTTTATTACCTATCATAACTTATAATGTTTTAATGTTATAGGTCACCAAACCAGCAGATGGTTGGATGATTTTGAGGATTAGGGATTGCGGATGGAAGGGGAGTGAAAAAGGACCGGACTGTCGGTAACCTGATTCTCTCGGCGAAACAAAACGCAATCGTTACTGTGGTGGATTACCTGAGGGCAAGTAATCAGCGCCTCCCATGGACGCCCCCAACAATGGAGATTGAGGAATTGGGGGAAGGCAAGGATTAGCCTTCCGGTAACTTGACTGACAAGGCGAAACATAACTATTATTTCAAGCTGGTTTTCTATGAGGCCGTAGTATAACTCCGGTCGAGCCGACCCATTCGTGTTGGTGGTTGGACCATTAATGTCGTAAGTTATCGTCGATATTATGGGTAAAAACCGGCCAAGAGCGTATCGGCCTACGCTCAGGGTTCCGAAGCTTCCCGTCTGGCACTTTAAGTTATTGTAAATTCTAAAACCGCAATTCAGCGTAAGTAGCAAAAGTACAGCGCCATCTCTTACAGGAATTAGGTTTGTAATCAATACACGCTAGAAGGGTTGGAAATTTTTTATTGATTCCGTTAACCGATTTTAATAATTTTTTTTATTTAAAAGAATATACCTACATTCCGAATAATGACATAGTTATTTGTATAAACAAAGTTAAAAAAATGATTGCATATACGGTCAAGTAGCTAAATTAGTTACGATTTTTTTGTACATTACTTATTTCAAAAACTATTCAAGTTATCGAGATCAAAATAATTTTCAGAAAGAATGATTGAAGTTCTACTTTCCAAATTTTTTCCATATTGTCTAATCTTATGGTTTAAAAGTTAAAGGATGGGGGGGGGGGGCGCCTTTTTTAACTTTTGGAGCGAATGAAACATTAACATTATCCAAAATAGATCTGAATAAACTCCTATTAAATAAAATGGGGGGGGGGGTACCCTAATAAAATAATTTTTATTTTACCACTTTGTCGGCGTGATTGATATAGGTACATATAGGTGCCAAATTTCGGCTTTCTAGTGCTAGCGGTCACTGAGATAATCCGCGGACACACAGACAGGCAGACAGGCAGACATGGCGAAAGTATAAGCGCTATAAGCGTTCTTAGTTTACTACGGAACCCTAATATCAGTAAACTATAATCATTGATATTTCATGGAACTTATAAGTTATACCTCCTGGTCCTTGGAGCGCTTGTAGAGGTTGTGTTTGAGCGTGAGCCAGTGCGCGCGATGGCCCCAGTAGATGCGCTCGCTGAGGTGGCCGTGCAGCACGCCCCAGAACAGCTTCACCTGCGGCTCGTCCAGCATCTGCTCGGCGCCCGCGCACACGTTGTACGCCCACTCCGCGCGCACTGACGCCTGCTGGTACCTGCTTTTACACAAATACTTTCACAAACTACCACTTCCTGTCTCGATGGGCTCCTAGTGTTTCTTTATGTCGCCCAACCGTCTTTATTCGTCACAGTTCGGGCAGCTTACAACTGACAGCTAGCTACGCACGACGCACCTGTCCTCAAAGTACTTGGTGACGTAGTCCTGCATGGACATGTCCTGGCAGTCTATCTTGCCGAGCCAGATGTCATTGATGATGACGCTGATTTCTCGTCGCGACAGGCGCAGATTCCTCACCTTACCCTCATAGCGGAGGTATGGTGGAATGACCGGATCCGTGCCCTAGACACAGTAAAAAAACAAGAAAGTCACAGAAGTCGGGCATGACAGCAATTGATTAGTTCATTTTGGGAATACTTAAGATAATGCGGACTAAAAGAGATTTAGTGAACAATGGTTTCTTACAAGTCCATCAAAATGTTCGAGATGATCACTTTCTGCAGCCGGGCCGAGCTCTTTCAATAGCACTCTTAGAGTATCGCGAGACGATAGACCACTCGCCAACTGCCACCACCTGAAATATGTACAGCAGCGCCTACCTACTTACGAGGATTAAACTGAAAGTTCTTACAACTGGCCACTTATAAATAATATAATAAAAAAATAATTTTAAAATACAACTTTTTGCCAATATTACCTCCTGAGTATTATATATCATTCATCTGTCGTTTGTTTTACGATTAGGCAGCAAATTGAAAATTGTCTGTATCACGTAAACATCAATATAACACGAGAAAATTTTCGTGCAATGATTTTTTTACTTTCGATGTCATACTAGAAAGTTGTGATAGACTACGACTGGCCTTTCACGACGATTTAATGAGTTTAAACGTGGTCGCAGTAATCTCACTGATGATTTAGGTACGTGAGGGTCAGCATGCTACAGCGACATGAGGTGGCGGCCGCTGTCGCCAGGACGGGAGGGTGCCCTGCTGATCAGGTGAAGGCAGGCACCATTCGCCCGGACAATACGGGGCTGCGGACTGTGGTAGTCAGCTGCCCCGTCACAGCGGCCAAAAAACTGTCAGAGGGCAAAAGGCTCTTGGTGGGCTGGGTTTCAGCGCAGGTGAAGCTGCTGGAACCCCGACCTTTGAGGTGCTTCCGGTGCCTCGTTGGTCACCATGTCGGTGCCAGATGCACCTCGGAGGTGGACCGCAGCGGCCGCTGCTTTCGCTGCGGTCAGCCCGGGCACAGGGCCGGTGCTTGTACCGCCCCACCGTAGTATGTGCGGCGGCTGGCAAGCCGGCCGATCACCGGGTTGGGGGCAAAGCCTGCTCCCCCCCCACCAAGCCCAGGGGTAATGGTAGGCCCTCTGCCACCTCCTCCGCCCCCGCCGTTCCCGTCGCAGTCGCCACCGCCTCCGCGAGTGCTGCTGTCGCTGCTGCCAGAGAGGAGGTCGTGATGGACTGTCAGTAATGGCTTCATTACGCCTCCTCCAAGCGAACATCAACCACTGCGTCGCTGCTCAGGATCTCCTGCTCCAGAGCATGGCGCAGTGGTCGATCAATGTTGCTGTGGTCTCCGAGCCGTACTTCGTTCCACCCAGGGAACAATGGTTGTCAGACCTGGACGGCTCGGTGACCATCATCTCGTCGGCCGCCGCCGGTACCCCAGCCCCCGAGGGGCCTCAGCGAGGCAGGGGTTGCGTCGCGGCTCGGTTCGGAGAGGTCGCTGTGGTGGGCGTGTACTTCTCTCCGAACCGAACTCTCGTCGAGTTCCACAACTCCCTCAGGGAATTAGTCACCGTCGTCGTCGGGTTCCGTCCCCTCCCCGTGCTGGTCCTCGGGGACTTCAATGCCAAGAATTTGGCTTGGGGTTCCCGGCTCACTGATGTCCGGGGAAGGATGGTCGAAGACTGGGCTCTGGAGACAGGCCTAGTCGTGCTGAACCGGGGTTCTGTCCCCACGTGCGTACGGATGCGGGGCGAGTCACTGGTGGACATTTCGTTTGCTAGCCCCGCTCTGTCATCGCGCGTTGTCGACTGGCGCGTCATGGAGGAGGTGGATACGTTCTCGGACCACCGGTATATACGGTTCGACGTTTCCGCCGAGTCCGCAGACCCGCCAGTCAGACAGGCCCCGTGTGGCCCACGTTGGGCGCTTAGGCAACTGGACCGGGAGCTTTTCCTGGAAGCCGCAGTCGTGCAGGCCTGGGTGATACCACCGGTCAGGCCTGCCGACGTTAACGAGGAGGCGAGATGGCTCCAGGACGCCATGTCTCGGATGTGCGACGTGGCGATGCCCCGGATCCGGGCGTGCCAACGCAAGCGCCAGGTGTATTGGTGGTCGCAGGAATTGGCAGACCTGCGCGGTGAGTGCACCGCGGCGCGACGCCGATACACCAGGCACCGCAGGCTCCGTATGCGCCCTCTGGACGCTGAAACCAGAGAGGCGGAACTATACGAGGAGTACAGGGCGGCGAAGGCAACCCTCAGGGTGGAGATCCGGCGGGCCAAAGATCGGGCCCGCGAGGAGATGTTGGAGACTCTGAACAGGGACCCGTGGGGGCGCCCCTACCGCATGGTGCGTGATAAGCTCCGCACCTGGGCGCCCCCACTGACTCAGAGTCTCCGGCCGGAGGTCGTGGACGAAGTGGTTGGGGCGCTGTTCCCCCGACCACAGATGGGTTACACGCCTCCGGCTATGTCTCCGCCCCCTGCGGTGCCCAACGCGGGCTACAATGACGACGACGGTGAATCCGCTCCGGAAGTGACCGAGGTAGATTTGAGGGTGGCGGTACGCCGGCTGAGCGGCAAGAACACCGCCCCAGGACCTGACGGGCTGCATGCCAAGGTTTGGATCCTGGCCTCGGAGGCTCTCAGGCCTCGACTAATTGGTCTTTTCAGCGCATGCTTGGAGAGGGGCCAGTTTCCGCTGTCGTGGAAGACGGGTAAACTGGTCCTCGTGAAGAAGCAGGGGCGTCCTGCGGACTCTCCGTCCGCGTACCGGCCCATTGTGCTGCTCGACGAGGTGGGAAAACTGTTCGAGAGGATAATATCAGACCGCCTCGTCGGGCACCTGTCTGGAAGGGGGCCGGATTTAGCGGACGGCCAGTTCGGCTTCCGCAGAGGGCGCTCCACGGTGGACGCCATCATGCGCGTGAGGGACCTCACGACGGGGACTGCGTTGGCCAGGGGGCGAGTCGTGGTGGCGGTGTCTCTGGACATCGCCAACGCCTTCAATTCGTTGCCCTGGAGCTGCATTCTGGAGGCACTCCGGTACCACCGGGTGCCTGCCTATCTCCGTCGTGTAGTCGAGGCTTACTTGACGGACAGATGCGTCATCTACCCCGGTCACCGGGGCGTGTGGAATCGGCGAGAGGTGTCGCGCGGTGTCCCACAGGGATCGGTCCTGGGACCTCTCCTGTGGAACATCGGGTACGATTGGGTGCTACGCACCGACCTCCCGAGCGGCGTCAGCATTGTCTGTTATGCTGACGACACGCTGGTGCTGGTGAACGGGAGGTCGCATCAGGCGGCGGCCGACCTGATGTCACAAGCGGTTGCGACAGTCGTTGCAAGGATCCGGCAGTTGGGACTCGAGGTGGCGCTCCACAAGTCCGAGGCCATGTGTTTCTATGGCCGTCGGAACGCGCCACCTCCAGGTGGGTCCCAAATAACGGCAGGAGGAGTTACCATCGGCGTCGAGTCGGCGATGAAGTACCTGGGTCTCGTCCTCGACAGCCGATGGAACTTCACAGAGCATTTTCGTCGTTTGGCCCCTAAGTTGGAACGGTCTGGGGCCGCGCTCAAGCGGCTCCTTCCCAACCTCGGGGGGCCAAACGCCTCCTGCCGGAGGTTGTATATGGGGATTGTGCGATCCATGGCCCTCTACGGTGCCCCTGTGTGGGCGCCGGACTTGAAGCGGTGGCCGGCACGTACGCTGGTCGCGTCCCAGAGGGTCATGGCCATCCGAATAATCCGCGGATATCGCACGATCTCCGGGGAGGCGGCGAACCTCCTTGCCGGATCACCGCCGTGGGATCTAGAAGCGAAGGCGCTCGCGCGCGTCTACAGTTTGCGCGCAGACGCGCGTCGCCGGGGCGAAGATCCTCTGCCGCGCCAAATTAGTGCGTGGCGGAATGAGCTCCGGCGAGATCTCATGGCAGAGTGGAAACAACGACTGTCGCAACCGAGGGCCGGGCACGCTACCATAGCAGCGGTAAGACCCCTCTTTGAGGAGTGGCTTGAGAGACGCCACGGCGTCCTCACCTTCCGTCTGACGCAGGTGCTTACCGGGCACGGCAGCTTCGGTAGGTTCCTGTTTCGGATCCAGCGGGAGGAAACGCCCGAGTGTCGTCATTGTGCGGACCACCTAGAGGATACGGTGGAGCATACGGTAGCGGTATGCCCTGCCTGGGCTGAGCACCGCCGTATCCTCAGGGAAGTGATCGGCGGCGGCGACCTCTCGCGCCCGGCCTTAGTCGAGGCCATGGTGCGGAGTGAGAGGAACTGGGACGCCGTCTCCTCCTTTTGTGAAGCAGTCATGCTCGCAAAGAGAGAGGCGGCCCGCGTGAGGGAGCAATCCTCCTCCTCACGCCCCAGCAGCCGCAACTGGCGACACTACGGGCGTCGGGGATCAAGGGACGATCTCCGGCCACCGTAAGCACGGGCCTGCGGTCGGCGAGTAAGGGCAGCTCGCCGCCCGACCAGAACCAGGCCCGAGCGTACGGCGCGTAGCGTTCCGCGCGCGCCTCAAAGAGCCATTAGACCACCACAGATGGGGCCCTAAAGGGCTGATGTTCAGCCGGGATTGCGGGGTAAGCGCAATGATGCACCGCGACCTCGGCACGAGCAGGAGAAGGAACAGGGGGGTTTTTAGTCAGTAAGAGTCTGACACTCCCTCCTGCCCGGCCCTGGGCGGGAGAAGTCATTTGATGATTTTCCCCTCACAAAAAAAAAAAAAAGCATGCTACAGCGACAACTGTATTAGAACTCGTTCTTTGGAAGGATAGGTCATCGCAACAATTGTATTAGAGTTCTAAGTGTGGGAGAGCCATGCTTCGGCACGAATGGGTCGGCTCGACCGGAGTGATACCACGGCCTCACAGAAAACCGGCGTGAAATAACCACAGCATTGTGTTTCGCCGTGTGAGTGAGTGTCCTAAATCCCTAAATCTCCAAATCCCTAATCCCTTAAAGGTCGGAAACGCATTCGTAACTCCTTCGTTGCGAGTGTCCATGGGCGGCGCTGATTGCTTACCATCAGGTAATGCTTCTGCTCGTTTGCCGACCTATTAAATAAAAAAAAATCAAAAAACATTTTCTGCAGAATCGCACACCGCCAAGCGAACGATCGACTATTTGGCGACATCAAACGTTGAATTACTGGGTCGCCGCCGTATAGCCCCGACCTCGCGCCTTGTGATTTTTTTTGTTTCCATAAAGTAAAGAAAAGCGGTTTATGAATGCTGAAGAAGCGTGAAGCGTGAGAAGGTGGCTGCCTATCGCGATGCCATTGAAGAGACCCCTAAGAACGAGTGTGCAAAGTGCTTTTCCCAGTGGTCCATCGCAAGCAGCGGTGTACTGACGTGAATGGACAATATTTTGAAAAGATATAATGAAACTCATAACTGGCTAATGTAATCAGTTTTTGATTTTCTAAGAACTTTCAGTTTGACCCTCGTACTTACATTGTAACATCGTACCTACATACCTTTCTTCCCTTTACATAAAACTTGTACCTATAGCGCCCACATTACGGATGGTAGTAAGGTAGAGAGCTAACCTATCTCGCCCTCCTCCTATGAAGTCGGCACACAGCTCCCACTGCGGGCGAGGTGTGCCAGCTCGTTCCAGCTCTCTGCAGCGTTCCTTAGTCTCAAATAACTCCTCCTCGATAGAGGTTTTTGCAACTGAAAAATAACTATTTTAGAACTTTGATAAAGAAAACGTAGGTACCTACTTCAGATTAACATGTACTTAGAGTGTCATATTAACCTATGCCCGTATGCCGTATAGAAATGGGCCCTACTTATCCTTGAATGGTTTCAGTAGCAGCACGTCGTGACTTCGTGTCGTACTTAGGTACATGCAGCAGCTGGTCGCGTCACTCGCCAATACTAGGTGCACAGATAGATACAGGTGCAGTTGTGCGCCTGTTGTGCATTGGTCATAACTATAGAATTGGCCTTCGTTTGGTTGTGAATGAGTTGAATGGCAGACTATAGAAAATTGCTTTAAAAACTAAGGACTTGGTTACCCATAAGCCTTTTATTAGTTTGTCGAAGAATTTTATATTCTGCCTCCAGTTTATCCAAAGCTTTGGACAGGTTGTAGTACTTCGCCTCACAAGTGTCATAATCTCGCCGGGGTACAGTGTCCGCGTACTCGTCAGTCATCTTTTTCAGTTCTGTTTGGGTATTCGATAATTGTTCCCTGATAATAATAGATAATATATGATATAAGACCACTCAATTTAAAATTGCAATAATTTTAGGTTTTAAGCATTCTGTACGTTGAGGGGGCATGCAAATGCACCTGCCAACCTACCTACACTTCTCGAGGGCAATTCGCAAAACGACTGGGTCGCCGTAAGCGTCATCCACTGGGTATGAGCTGCCGTCCAGCTCCTTAAGCTTCATCTGCAGCCCCAAGTTCTCGAAGTACAGCGTGTAACGAGCGTCACGCTCTCTCATCAAGTTCAGGTAGTCAGAAAATTTGTCGTCATTAACCTGGTAATACAACATCTCAAATAATGTTTTGCACTGGTAGGACGGCTAGCGGTACTTACCTACTAGCTGTAGCTGAGCGTGACTAGATACTACAGTTACAAATCAGTCAGTCAGTCACATACATAATTAAGCGATTTTTGTGTTTTTAATTAATTAATTTATAAATGTGAAAGTTTGTGAGAACGAATGGGTGTTTGTTTGTTATTCTTTCACGCGAAAACGGCTGGAACAATTTTATTGAAATCTATCCACCTACCATAAAACGGGGTGTGAATAGATACACGAAAGGGGTGAATAGATATTGGCGATTTTTCCTTGTATCTATTCACCCCATTTTTTTTTTAAATTAAACGTTGCCCCACTCACAGTGTACATTATTACTTTACTGTAACCCACTTTAGGATTTTTTCCTGTGTTGTGGGTGTTTTTGCAAACATACAATTTCACATACACAACACACCCAGACCCGGAACAACCATTTGTAAATCACACAAAGTGTTGTTCCGTGCGGGAATCGAACCCGCGACACGTTGCACAGCAGCCAGTTGCCCAGCCACCGCGCCAACCGTGCAGTCAAAACATCAAATCGTCAAAACCATTGTACCGTACTAATATTATAAAGCTGGAGAGTTTGTTTGAACGCGGTGATATCCAGATCTACCTATTGGTCCGAATTGAATAATTCTTTTCGTGTTTGTTAGTCCACTTATCGAGGAAGGCTTTCTGCTATAAAACATCACGCTACGAGAAGCCGAGCAGCGAGTAAAACCGCGCGAGAGAAGATAGTTTAGTATGTATATACCTAGATAGGTGATACCCTGGCTGGAATAACACACGGGTTGCTTTTTATCAACTTTTTCAGAACAACACTACAAGCTTGTTCAGAATAAGTATGAATTAGCTTTCAAGGAACAATTTCTTGAATTTGGTTGTGGAAGCAGCACCATTACAATATATTTTTGTATACTATACACTACTTGGTACTATTTTATATGTAGGTAGATTGTCACCTGAACGAGTATAATTTCTTGTATAATGTTACCGGTTTCATGAGTGTTGAGTGCACAATGTCAATTATCACGTGGTATGTAGAAATAAGTAGTCAATACGCCTTGTTATCTACGTAGGTATAAAGTATGCCATACGGATCATGCAAGTTGCGATAACAGTGACTTGGTACGGTTATGGCGTCATAACTAAGCAGAAAGATAAGTTTTACATAAACATTGGTGGGGAAATAAAGATTAAAGAACATTCTTCAACTTTAAATTAACATACTCATAATTATATAACTTGGAAAAACACATTACAAAGTAAGCACACAAGTTGGTTGCCCCATCCACCAGACTGCATACTGTTGTACACACCTTACCCACATCCCTTTTTAGTTTGTTATTTTCAAAAATCAGTTTTAAGTTTTGTTCTCTTAAATCCTCATTTTCCTTTAGCAACTTTTTGATTTCATCATCATGCTGTTTCTTTCTGGCAGTTATACCAAATACTTTCTGTAATTTGATGTCTCACATGCATTGAATTGCATTACATAACTATTGTTATCTGTGTGTTTAAAATAAAATGATCTGATGCAATAATAACAACAATTTAATATAACAAATGTCAAATTGCACAATTTGGCTTTACACACTTTTTTATTTTGAATACAAATGCAAATAATGCAAATGTTTAATTTATAACAACACTGAAAAAACAGGAAACCAAAACACAAACATAGCATTACAGATATTACTTATTCTGAGAATTTTTACTTTGATTGTTAACCCAAATCTGGACTTGGTTCCTGATAAGTGAGATATCAGTGGCGTAAGTCCTGCAACACCCCCCCACATACCTAACTCCTATATCCAGCCACTCGGGCACAAAGCTAGCAAGGGCTTCACATTTGCCTTGGTCAATCCAGCCTAAGTCAGGGTTATACTTCTCGCCTGAGTTAGGGTAGGTAATGAATGGTATGGGAGAGTGTGGGCGCTCATCATTGACACCCTTGAATAACTTTGCAACAATTTTTGGTGAGCAGCAGTTTACACCAATAGCAACTAGTTGGGAGGGGTTCAAGTCCCAACATTTCAGTACAGCCGTTTTAAAGTCTTCTCCATGTGCTAATGATTGCTCATCCTTACAACTGAAACTCAGCCATGCTTTAATATTTGGAAACTCTTTTAAAATCTGTACAAGCATTTCAGCTTCTTTCAGACAAGGAATGGTCTCAAAAGCTAAAAAGTCTACCCCAGCTTCCACCAGAGCCTTGATCCTTGGCATGTGCCACTCTCTCATGGCATTAACAGGTGTTATATCTGCGTAGTCGCCGCTGTACTCCGAGCCATCATGTAAGTATGCTCCATATGGACCTACTGAGCCCGCGATGAGAGGGGCTCGAATGACATCACCTGTTTCCTGGCATTCCTTTAAGAAAATGTCTCGGGCGCGTTTGGCGAGTTCCACTGCATGTTTAATGAGATCGTATCCTTGTTCTGGTGAAATGCCTAGATGTTTGACGAAACCTCCGATGGACGCTTGATAAGTGTTGGTCATAATAATGTCAGAGCCGGCGCGGAGGAAGTCCAAGTGAGTGCTAACAACATCATCAGGATGTGTCTGAAGAAAGCGCGAGCTCCAGAGTGGATCTCCATCCCCTGAAGTGCCCACATGACAAGACAATTGAGTCGAGAAACCTCCATCGAGAACTAACACTGTGGGTGCTATATCGCCGGTTACAGACATCTAGCAACAACTATAATAATACAGCAAAAAATTCAAGAAATTAATTTTCCACGAAGACACGATGCGAAATAATAATTTCCGTTTAATTTGACAACTCCGCACTCCGGTCTTGTACTTTAGTAACTTGTATTTGTATGAAATAAAATACTATAGGTATTACTGCAAATGGTATAAACAAAAATATGTCAATGTTGCGATCACACTACTGTCACTACTGTCGTTGTAGCTGTCAAGTTTCTTTCGTGAAGGCTGGAATACCTAGTCTAGCCATAAATACTGTAACAAATAAAAAAAAAATTTTCTATTGCAAATAAAATTTTACTTTTACACTATGTAAGTTTAATACATAAATATAAAACAATTTAAAACATAAAAAGCTTATTCGATGTGGTCTCCATTGGCTGCAATACAGACCTTTAAACGTTGAGGCCAGTTATCAATAGAAGCACGGACTCTTTCCATGGGAAAATTCTTCACTGCCAATCGTATGGATTGTTTTAGGGAGTCCAAATTATCATGACGTTTAGAGCAAGCCCTACTCTCTAAAACTGATCATAAATCATAATCCAGCGGATTAAGATCGGGACTAGACGATGGCCAGTCTTCAGCTCTGATGAAGTCGGAAACGTTCATTTCCAACCAAGACTGCGTGGACCGAGCTTTATGACCCGGCGCCGAGTCTTGCTGGAAGGACCATTGTTCGTTATTGAACATGGTGTTGTTAAGGGGCTTAACTACCTTCTCAAGAATGGTAATTTGATACACTTGTGCCGATGTTTTGATACCTTTTTCGCAAAAGTATGGCTCAGTCACTCCTTCATAGCTAACACCCCACCAAACCATCACTGAAGTCCGAAAATGCCCACGTTGCACTCTATCGACTAATTGAGAAGCTTCCTTAGAGCTTTGAGCATAAATACGGTCATTTTGTTTGTTAAAATGTTGCTCAATAGTAAAAACTTTCTCATCCGTAAACAAAATTTTTCTGTGACCTCCCTTTGCGTACCGCTTCAGTAGTTGTTTAGATTTTATCACCCTATTCTTTTTTAAATTATCATTTAAAAAATGTCCAGTGCGTCTCTTAGGTATAGGCTGCAAGTCCTAAGTCGTCTTTTAAAATACGCGTCATGGTTCTAGGTGCTATCTTCATCTCCCGAGGCAAAATCTTTTGCTTTCGGACAGGATTTCTTCGAATTCTTTCCCTTATTGCTTTGACCACCTTTTTCGTACGAACAGTACGTGGACGGCCAGATATTTTTCTGTCACAAATGGAGGAGGTCTCATTGTACCTATTAATAGCCCGGTACACAAACATTTAACTAATGCCAAGCGTGTGGATAGTTTTAAAAATTGCATTTGGCTCCATACCCACTTTGTGTAATGCAATCACAGCGATTCGGCTCTCTTTATCACCCCACTCCATTTTAATATCACATAATATTGAACAATTTATTGGCGCCAAAATAAGAAAACAGTGAAAAATTATAGAAAAATGACAGATTACAAATTCAAATGTAATATTTTGTTTATTTTTAATTGTAACAGCCAATTGGCCAGACTATGTATATGATGGACATGTCGTAGCGCGTGTCGGCGTGTGTGCATATTACAGCGTCGTGTCGTGTCGCGCTCTGGCGTTATTTCAGAATAGTGGATGCTTACTTATCGTATTGATATTGATCATAATAAAAAAAAATATCTGAAGAGAAATAACTAAAAAAAAATTAAGAGTTTTTAACGTTCCTTTCGATTTTTCTGACAAAACCAATGACATTTCGTAGGTTCTTTTTTTGTAAAATAAATTTCATTTTATACAATGGGAACAATATTTTTTGCAGAAAAGTACATAGCAGTTTACACGTAAACATTAAAAAAAAATCTAAATCAAGCCGGTATTTCTCACCTGACTATTCTGAGATGTTTGTTTTAAAGTATAGATAAATATAAAAATAATTTGATAAAACCATGCAGTTTTTTTCTTAATAAAAAATGTTGCCCCACATTTGGATTTGATCTTGTGTCGTGGGTCAACATACAATTTCACATACACATACACCCCGACCCAGAACAGCAACTTGTGGGTCACACAAAGAGTGGTTCCGTGCTGGAATCGAAGCCGCGACACGTTGCGCGGCAGCCAAAGGTGCATAAACTATGTTAGAGTGATCCAAGAGAAATTTTCAGAATGAAAGTGATCATGTATATAATATTCTACCTTCCACCCGCAGCATTGCAAGCGTATAAAAGTATTCCGCCATTTTCAAACACTGATGTTTTAACAATCCCGTTAAAAGCAATAGCTCGATTAAAATCCCTATTCAATCTTCCAAACTATCCAAACTAATACTATAAATGCGAAAGTAACTCTGTCTCTCTGTCTTTTCTTTACGCCTAAACTACTGAACCGATTTCTGTGAAATTTGGTACAAACATAGTTTTGAATTCAAGAAAAGACTCGACTTACCTCTTACTTACTTACCTCATACGAAAAATCTGCAGGAAGTCACTGTTCCACACGAACGGAGTCGCGGGCAAAAGCAAGTACTTAGTAATAGAACTTTGATATTCAAATTATTGCTGTAACTTTTGAAACAAAAAATATTTATATTAAAATGTCAAAAGTATCAAGACCGGTTACCTCACAGTTTTTGGAGTAGCCATATGATAAAAAATCAAAGATCTTTTGTGCCAAACTGTAAAAGCTTTTAGATGCGACACGACCACGACACGCCATCACTATCACTATTATGTATTTGTGGCATAATATTGTAGGTACTAGTGTGATATTCGCATTCACGATATTGTACTTACATCTTGGATTATAAATTGTGAAATACGCTCATTGCGTACTTTTAATGCATGGTCATATGCTTGTTTTATTTTGTCCAGGATTCCAGAATAAGTAACAGAGTAATCAATCAATGTTTTAAAAGCTTTTTGATGAATCTGTGAAATAAATATTATTAAATGCCACGCAAACAAGCTATTCAAATAAAAATGTATTGTAAGTACGTACTAAAGTTCTTACCTCCAAAACTTGATCGTACTCCGATTGCTGTACCTCAAGTAACTTACTATTTGACTTTTTAAGACACTCAAGTTGTTCATTTATTTGAATATCTAAATATTTAATATATTTCGGAACACTAATCATGATGTTTTCGATACATGTAAATCTATGGATGTTGTTATGCCCTTAATTGATTTTCTTATCTTTGAGGCTCAAATAACATTAGTTGTGATGGTGATTATCTTCTAGCAATTCATAGCTTGCACCAAAGTATGTACCTACATTACATGCTTTACAAACAAATGGTTATTATGATGTATGCAAGAATTAAATCTAGTGATAGTGTTGATTGATTGTAGGTACCAGGTGCTAGAAAATAACATGAAACTGTTGTAAGCACCAATAACACTTGTAAATTGAAGCTTAGGTGTGTATAATGTTCTTGGGTCGGATCGGAACAGTTGTTTTTATAGGAAATATTAAGTCTCAATACTTTGAAAAAGTTTAGCATTTTATGATTGAGTTATTTCATCATAAATCTAAAAAAGTAATTTACTATTTTCATTTATTGCTTTTTATTTATTTTAGATGATTTCATATTTCATTAAGTTTTACGGCAATAATCGGTTTCGATTATGGTTTACCATAAACAAAACCGTAAATGAAATAGAGTTTCTTGTGCTGCCATCTTTTGAAAAGTTTTCATCCGTAGTTGTTGACGTCAATGACATGACATGAAATTCAATAAAGAAAATTAGAAATGGCTGCGATAGGCAGTGGACGGGGGAATATGGATTCCCAAAACCAAGTGCAAAGTGACAATGTAGATCGTTTAAAACTGCTATATCCCAATGTTAATGAAGAAGAAACGCCCTTACCAAGATCATGGAGTACAAAAGATAAATTCAGCTATATTGGGTTGTCGCAGAATAATCTGCGAGTCCATTATAAAGGTAAGAACTTTGAAGGTTTGTTTATGGATTAGATATTCACAAAACTTCGTCAATGCGCTTTATTGTTGAGCTTGTGTTATTGACTGGAGTTCTGTGTGATTAGATATTAGATAAATCGCGTCTGACGTGTCATAACAGCTTGTAGTGAAATGACTATGTTAGCAGTAGTCAAACAAAGGAATCAGCTGATCGTATATTTTGTAACAACATTAATAAATTAATTGATTGGCGATGTAATTGCACGTTAGAAGACTATCGAAACCTGTGATATTCCGTATCTGCGTGTTTACTCGCTGTAATACAAGTTATGAAAAGTACCACAAGGTCTCCTCCTCAATAAAAATGGCAGACAAAGATGCAACATGATTGCTAAGAATAATTAGGTTCAAATAATTCTAACGCGTGTCTATAAGCAAGCTTAGACTTTGTTTAACACTTGATTTGATTTTAATAAAGTGCTTGTATTCAACTTCAGAGCAAAACTACCCAAATCAATTTTGTTGTGTGTGTTTAAATATTTGAATTCCATTGATGTTTGGATGTTAAGTGCCATGAGCTTATTATGCTTTGTTTTCACAAGTGTTTAGGTGTAAGCAACACTCGGCTGTAGTAAATATATAATTATGATTGGAAGAGAAACCAGTAATTGGTGAATATGTTTATACATATAGATCTAAAATTACAATAACACACAAATTGTCATGAGGATTTACTTTATATAATTATTAAGTATCCAGATGTTACAGTACTATTTGGTAATAGTTTCCAAAAAATTCTGATATGCTCTCTGTTCTCTGCAAGAGGAGTAGGTGTAAAAGAGTAAAAGACTTTGTACTCAGTAGTATGTAATGACTATCTACAATAACTGTCAAATAGTTTGTACATGTTTGCCTGAGATAAGTTTAAATGTTTTTCTCAAAGTTTGTCTGCAAACAAAATGTGTAGTTAAGACATGACCCTACTTAAAGCGTGATAAGTATGTTGATTCCACAAGATGTGTATAATATATTTTTTCAATTAGGCATTCTCATGTGTAATGCAATACTCTAACAAATATCTAGAATTGAAAGGACCTACATGTACATAGCACATGCAACTAATCATTAATTCCATGAGATTGTTTAGTTATGCAGCTCAACATTAATGATTATGTTTCATTCTCCTAAGGGCTTTGTAGTTAAGCACAAAGTCACAGCTGTGTTTTTAATATGTATAAATGCCGTTAATCCTCTCCCGCTTTTATTGTACACAAATTCAGTATTGTGTTTACATATTCTGCACACATTCTTATAGAAATAACTATATCAGGCTCCATCAACAAGCCTTGTAAGTTTCTATTAACCAGTATCTTTAGCAGAGGCAAACTACAACTAAATAAATGTATATATAAAAGTGATGAATATAAATTAGCTAGGCTTGTAATGAAGTTGTCATATTATCTTAATTCAATTCTTTATGGCACAACTAACCCTCCTTTGCATTGTGCAGTCGGGTAAGAAGACTGCAGAAGTATTACCTCAGATCTTTTAAGTACCTAACATGGGTCCCAAGTTTGACCCTTGCATTTGTTACAAAAACAACACCAAAATGTGTTTTTTTATGTAAATGTAAACTGAGACATATAAGGCTTTTTATTTTATTATTGCCGGAGATTATATTCCCAAAAGAAGTAAACAAGTAAGTCCCTTACTTAAAAATTTAAAATATCAGCTGTTTTGCTATTTCCTGTGTGTACTTATAAAGGAGGGTGGGAATGATAACTCAATCGGCAGTCTTCAATCTTTCTTCAAACTTTTAAAGTTAAAGAAGTTCTGTTGGCAGTAGTATCTTATGTTGATTTCTGTGGTTCAGTACATATTTGTAACACAATTTTCTTAAAGATAATTGCAGCATGTAGCCATTAACTGGCACTGGCAATGAGATGTCAATACTTTATCAAATAGTTCAGCAAATTATGACTACAATTTAAAATACAACCGAATATAATTAATTATTCTCGTTATTTTATTGGCACTGTGATGTCTTTTAGGCTATAATTATGTTGCTAACCAAACTCATTGTGCATAGCAAATACTTAGTCAATAACTAAGATAATTAAAAATAAGGCTATTAGTCTATAATTAATGGTGCCAAATAACGTTTGTTACTATAGTTAGAGGACATACAAACTTATTAGTTACAGATAAATGTGGAAATATACCAACAAATGCTTGTTATTTCTTTGCAAACAGTCTCGTAATTAATTATTATATGGCTAAGGGTTCTATTTCTTTTAGACATGTTACAACAGATAAACATCAGAAGTACAAGAACATTTACCATCTGGGCACCAATAAGTTGGTTGAGAAGACTGTGATGTCCAACCCTCTCCCTAGTGTGGATATTATGGCCCCTAGTGTAGCTGTGGATTGTTGAATAAAATCACTTGATAGTCCAAATATGGTACCTAGCTTTTGTTCTCTTTAGCATTCAGAGGATCAAAAATACATCCTCTTGTAATTAAAAGACTTACAGAAATATATACTTATTAAAAATACGGATTTAAGATATTTTATAAATCTGGAAGGACTGGAACCAACAACGATAACCATCTTCTTTCGACCCTTTTCATTACCAACTGAAATTCTTATTTATCAAATGTCGTATCGAGCCAAACAGATAGAGGTTTTCTTATATATGTCGAAATGCAATTGCAGAGTATAATATACTGTAGAATCATAAGCTAGGGGTCGTCGGGAGCCCTGTATCGACCGGGGGCTGACGCGCCGGTTGTTGACCGACAGCCGCGCTTGCAGTCTGCCCGGGTCCGGTTCGCGCCGGTGCACCCCGCCTAATTCCGCGTCTAGACTTGGGGCAAGGACCCTAAGGGTGCACCGAACGCAATTTATCCCACCTTTTGTTGTCTGCCTCGGCTTCAGCAATCCTGCAACATTTTCTGCTAATGATTTCTACCCACTTGACGCCGCTTCCCTGTTTATTTGTGTACATAGAAATGAGCTTTGGCAACCTTATTTTTGGCACAGTGTGTATTTTTAGTTGTTGTAAATATTCGTTATTGTCAGCGCAGCGCGACATAACTATACCGAGCCATTTTATTTGTATTATCGAAATGCATGTGTGAATTACAGTAGTTTGTAAATATAAAGTTATACATTCATCGTAACTACTTGAAATTGAATCGTTGGGTTATATTAATTTGAAAACTGTTACTACGTATGTAGGTACTGCAGTGTCGCCAGACCTAGACGTTTCAGTGGCCTAGGTATCTGAATAAATGTGAAGGGCACGTGAAGGTGTATTGTCTGACATTTGTTAAGTCTGCGCATGTTTAAAACTTCTTTTCGGGAATATTGTGGAAAATAAACCGAGAGCAAAGGACAATCCGGTCAATAGGTCACTGGGTAGCACGAGTGTGTGAATAGAATTATAGTTGAATTATTTAAGTAAATTAAATTCAATGAATTAAGTAGGAGTTTAATTAAGACCGGTAACCGTTTTGATAGCAACTTGTGTGAAATGATGAGGTTCTACATGTAAATCGTAATTCGTGAGAAGAAAATGGTCCAGGTCGGCGTCCTGCGCAGAAAGGGTCGTGGCAGGTCCTTGGTCCTCGGTCACACAATGTGCGAGGCTAACGACCCACGAAACCTGTTGACGGACTAGTTGCTCTAGCTTGATCGCGCTCGTCTTGTTGCAACTGCTCCAGCTTTTTCTCGTATTTAGGTTGGATATGCTACTACTACTAGCTATTCGCCTGCGGCTTTACCCGAGTGAACCAAAACCATATTAAATGATATCTACTCCTGAATCGTCTTTAGGAATCACATGATCTATCCGTGAAGACCGTGCAATAATACTTTTTTATTTTTATTCTGTAGTGAGTTTGGTTTTGAGTAGAATTAGCAATATGTACATAAATCGTTTGAGCTCACAGCAGCACCCGCTCTGTAGAATCATTGATATACTTCATATGCAGAGGGAAATTGATAAAATCAATAACATTAGTCCGTAGGGTGTGCGCGAGGATAATATTGCATATAGCAGTGATTGCGAAGGAGTGTGGAAGTATTATGCTGGGGCACGGGCCGCTCACAATGGGGTTCTCACAACGAGTTATGGCTTCCTTCCTATCGTCTAGTTCGGAATTAATGAAAATATATGAAAATTTTATTATAATAATTTGAATGTTTTCATAAGTTTAATTTGTGAAGTATATGAAGTTACCTCCGCGGCATTGTTGATGTGAGTTGCATTCGGTTGTGTGTAGTGATAAATGATAGCGAACTGTGTCGCTATTATTGTGAACCGGTTTACGAAGTAGGTAACCTTTTACTGGGAATATATTGACAGAGACGCACTGTGAATGCGGAAACAAACTTTTACATGATTTTACTGTCAATTTCATTATTCTCGAAAAGCACTACGGAAACAACCTTTGCCTTTTTACCCGAACTGCAGGAAGAGTTCTTCATAAAATGATGTAGATTACTTATTTACCGCAATATTCTTAATTAACGCCTTGTGGTAGATAAGGGTCCAATCAAAGTCGACATTTTTAATTATACTTTCAATAACACACAAATCATATTAATGATTTAACTTATTAAGAAAAAACCAGTTCTTCAAGTTAAATTATTATCATTAAAAATTAAAAGTGCATTTGCACGTTGCTGTGTTTCATCATGTGCCTATGTAAAGTTCCGTTCTCGAATTTATAATATCATACAACGTGTTATATTATAGCATAGGGAGTTATTTGCTCTGTAATGTAAATAATTGTAATTATGTAGCGTCAAATATAACGACTTAAGTAGGCACTCGTTTCATCATTCACCGCCCGTAGACCGTCAGCTGTCTGCTGACCATATTCAGTTCATGAGCTTTTTATTATGCGATCATCAGCTTTAAGCGAATATGGCCTTTTTAGTATCTATAAAATGATGAATGGCACATTTGGGTAATTTCCTAGGTCAAAAATAAATTAATTTAACGTTTAAATA